GCCGTAGCGGCGAATGTTTCCTCCCCCTTTCCTTTCCAAGACGATTGCCATTCACGCTTCGCGGGCCCCTCGCCTGCGCCCCATTCATTCCTTCGCCTCGCGCCCGCCCTCCGCAGCCCATTCACGCCCGCGCGCCTGCCCGCCATTCATGCAGCCTTTCAGTCAGCCATCCAGCGCAGCTGCCGGCTCGGCTCCCAGCTCGCGCCCTCCACGCAGAGCGCTCCCCCTCCCCCAACCTACTCTATGCATCCGGCCATTCAACCTGCGCGTGCCCGCCCGGATGGATGGATAACGAGTGGGACCCGCGGGGTGGGGGTGCAGGAGAGATGCTGGCGGTGTGTGATGGATTGAAGGTGCCTGCCAGAGATGTTAGGTATGTGAGCGCGCGTTCATACTGTGGGGGTATTAATATGCCTCTTCTGGAAAAGAGTCCGTGTATTCAGGGTGTGCGTCAGTTAGAATGCTTGCATGTACAGATGCAGCTCTGCATATGGATCAGGATTGTTGGGTGTTTTCAGTTGCTTAGAATTTTTGCTTCTGTAGAGGATGCTTAAAAACGTGTGGGAATGGCTGGCATGGTGTCTATATGGAGGTGTGCTTTGTGCATGAAGACTTAGGAAGCCGGAAAGCAATCCAATAATCGATTCTGGGTGTTTGCCGTGGTGTGGCCATGAATCCATATATTCCTGTGAAGGCTTTGTGTATGTGTATCTCTGTGGGTGTGTATCTGCAACTGGGCATGCATGGGTACCATTCGCTGTATGCAGGTTTGCTGTTGATTTATGCTGTTGTCTAAACTATTTAACATTCTGAGGCATTATGGACAAGAAATGAAAATATGCATGTACTTCTCTGATATTCATGCATTATATCTTTCTCTGCATACTCTCTATATTATAGCTTGTTTTAACCTTTGTAGTGGGACATAAAAGCTTGAACAGCAAACCTGTAAAGCATGATGTGCTAAATGCTATACATGCACTAAAATATGGTTTTTTTATTGTGTATATGTGTACATTAAGGCAGCACATTTCCATCCAGTTTCAACATCATCCTGCAAGGTGTCATGTTAATGTGTTCTTTTATACAGTTTTATGTGTATGTTGTTTTCTATGTGGGCCCCTGAAGATGTGCTTAGTGATAATGAAAAAATATTTTAAACACACGTATCTTATGTATATATACAATTGGATGATACCTTTTTGATGCTTTGTTGTATTTGGTCAGATGTTATGTGCCGATTCATGCATGTATATTTTAAATCTGATGTTTCTCTAACACCACATAACTTAATATGCAACTTAATGCAGGCTTGCATTGACATTTGAATATGACACAATCCATACCTGCTCAGATTTATAGTACATTCATGTTACTCTATGAATACATAAACCAACTTTTTCACAATGTTCACCTAATGATGGAAGATAGCACTTTCCCATTTTAATTAGAAGGTTGAGATTCCAGATCCTTTTACATTTAGACTGCATTGTTGAAGACTGCAGTGGCAGGAAGCTCATCTGGTTGTATCTTAGATTGGACTCTTGAGAATGGAGAGTTTCTAAGGCCTTGTTCAACAAGGGTTCACTGCATATGGAAAGCTAGTCTATCAGTTGCAGTTTGCTACATCAGGATACTGAAGTGGTGTGTTTAAATATATGCAGCCTAGAGGACTTTTTAATAAAAACTCACCAATCTATTTGCAAAAGTACTCTAGTTCCACGATACACCTCCTTCAAAACTGCGATTCTCCAGAGGTTGCTGAGCTTTAGATCTCAGCAACAATGAGCCAGTAGGCTTGCAGTGAGAATACAACGAATTATGGTTTAGAGACACCAGAAAGTCCTAAAATTCCCCATTATAAAATTGATTATGGTGCAGAAGGAAAAAGCTTGCCTTGGTACCCATGTTCCACGTACATCACCAGAACTTGCTATTTCCTCGCATTTTTATATAAGTCGAAAGAATTGATCTTCACTGTAAGAAAGATCCTTTCTGACTCAAAAGATTTCCCAGAAAGATCTCATGGAAACCCATATAGAAGTAGAGGCTGGAGTTCTCGTTTGTTTCTTTCTAAATTCTGGAAATATTTTGGGAGTGTTAAGCATTAGTAAATATTGGATGAGTCTGGATTTGTGCAAGGTTTTAAGGCGCTTGATAGATCATATATTCATTTCTGAGCTATGCAGTTATGTATGTTGGTGTACATATCAACCTGGTACCGTTGAAAACTATGGGAGTTATAATGTAATATTTCTGGAGGTGCCAGATTGGGAGAGTTAGGGTTATATGTATTCACTACAATTAATGGTCTCTGTCCAGGAAATCTCATTTCTTTGCAACAGTTGTTGCCTATGTGAGACAGTGTTAGACCCTTTCTAGAAATATTTCTGTAAGTGAAATATATTTGAGAAGGAGGACATAGGAACATATCTGCATAAATTAGGAAGTCTGCATCCTTCCATTTCATGTTCACCTCATATATATTAGCTTTTTTAATCTGTTGTTTGCCCCAATACTATGTTTTGATGCAGATTCAAGAGAATATTCTATAAGCTGACTGCAAACTTGTGATCCACCAAAGCAAATACAGTCTGGCGAGTATGGGTTTGTTACGCATAATGTCGAGAAATTCTGTTTAATTAACCTTACTTCCCATTATAGGCCAAAATAATCAGTCCTTCAGTGTAGGATCTTAGGGAGAGTTATTGACCAACCCAAGTCTTGAGACCATCATTTAAGTTTATACAATTTACTGTAATGTATTAAAGAGATTAATAAGATACCCTAGTGATACACGCAATCAAAGTGCCTTAGTAGAGTGAAAGAAACCTTCCATAAGAGTAATTTTTTTTAGAAATCAGAGATTTGGTGATTTAATCTCCTGGTTTTGGTTATCTTACCACTCTTGAGATATAATTCAGTTGCTACTTAGCCTTAAGCCTTTTCTAACTTTCATCACATTTATTTAATTCACAGAGATTGCCCTGTTTCTTTAACTATTACTTGGCAGCTTGAAGTTCCTTTTTCTTACTTTTCCAGTTAATCCTATTTATCCACAATTTGGTTTTTACCTCTCTGACCTCTTTGTCTTATCTGTTGTCCTATAAAATTTCTTACCTTCCATTCTTTTGTTACATATTTTTGTATATAAAGAATTTAATAATTTGAAAAAACAGTGCATTAATAATATGAATAAACATGAGCAGAAAAAAGTATAGTATGAGTAATTCACAAGCCTATCTATGGCCTGTAAGGTGCTTGATGTTATTCATTTAGATAACATCAGGCAGGACAAAAAAAAAAAGGGGGGGGGGGAGAAGAAGAAGCAAAAACACTGATGAGTTATTTTACATGCTGATATAACATAGGGGATTTCAGTGGATGACGTGCTGACAGGGGATGTCAGATATACCGTAGTTGTTATAAGAAAAATAGTATAGCATGTATAACATAACTAGCAGCTGGAGTTCACACTAGCAGAAGAAAACTTCATGGACTTGGAAGGAAATTTGATGTCTTGAAAAATTTAGCAGTGCGGATCATTACCACTCCAATTGTAGAATTGGCACTTAAACAACTTGTGCCCGTTGTCTGAATTCCTGTCAGTCTGTTCTGTGCTGAGAAGTATTTTTTTCTTGTTTGGGAGAATACCAGCTTTGATCACGCAATGAGACAACTAAGTACGATACTTTTGTTCTGTGCTGTGGAGTTCATCTGTGACTTTAAGCTTTTTTTTTCTGTACTTAATGCTTTCACATGGAGCAATGCACATTTTGTTTGAAGGCTTGGAGCCCTGTAAAAGAGTAGGGGATGTGCAATGTTTGTAAAAGCTATATCTGCAGCCTGAATTGATTGCATTGCTTCTTCAGAATTGAGAATAAAGGGAGTGCAGTACCATGAATATACACAGTTATATTCAATGTTCTACAGTTGTTTCCTGGAACAGCAGACTAGGTTTCCTCTATAAGTGATGTCACATTATAAATGCATTATCTTGCCATTTTTATATGAGCCATCCTACTACTTTTAGTGGTAAGGTCTCATGCAAAATATATTTGCAGTAGGAGATTATGGTCATTTGTTATATATGTACAGATAGTCTTCGACTTACAACAGTTCAGTTCAAAGTTATAACGGCATTGAAAAAAGTGACTCATGATTGTTTTTCAAAGTTACGACCTTTGTAGTATCATGTGATCAAAATTCAGGTTCTTGGCAACTGATTCATATTTATGACTCTTGCTGTGTCTCAAGGTCATGTGATCACCTTTTGTGACTTCTGACAAGCAAAGTCACTGGGAAACCAGATTCACTTAACAACTAGGTTGCTAACTTATCAACTGCAGTGATTCATTTAACAACTGTGACAAGAAAGGTTGCAAAATGTGACAATATTCACTTAACAAGTGTCTCACTTAACAACAGAAATTGTGGTCATAAGTTGAGGATTACCTGTATTGTTAAATCTTATATCTGTAAATCTTGTACAGTATGTCTCAAGTAGGCAGTAACAGAGATACTCCTGTATGATGCTAGCTATTTTGCAGTGAGGTATAATGTTTGCAGCTTGTTTTGTGGAGACCCTTTGCGCCTTCTAGTGCTTCATCCCTGGGTAATGAGCGAGTAGAGTATTTGCATTTGCAGTGTGGGGCTTAGTGCAGCCAAAATTCTGTGCAGTGTCTTTGGAAATCTGGCCAAAGCAGTGCTGTCTTCATTGGCTCTGGCTCACCGATGCTACTGTTTTATAGAGAGCAGGTACCTGCTATGTTTGCACTGTCAGGGCTCAGTGTAGGGAAGAGGAAGAAGAGAGAATTAGAGCCTGCACATTTTGCAGACGTGGTACATTACAAATTACCTGCACAAATGATTCTATGTTGGCAACATATGAGTAACACAGGGCTCTTCTGATTCTTTATGCAATGAGCAAGTCTGAATTGGGAGTTCCCTTTAACATCTAGATGACTCCTAACCTGTCCTATCATTTTTTTCTTTCGCAGTGATTACATCATTAAAGAGAAGACAGTGCTGCTTCAGAAGAAGGACAACGAAGGATTTGGCTTTGTGCTAAGAGGGGCTAAGGGTGAGAGGGGGAGTTAAGGTCATCCTTGGAAATTAGGGTTGTCCCTGGCTGTTTTGACTGATTATGCAGATGGACATCCACAGTGATTCCCCACCAATCTACAAAGCTTACAGCAATTGTGGATGTCTCTAGGAAGAGCCAATAAAGAATAAATAGTTCCCATTGGAACCATGTCCTTTTCCCCTAGATGTTGTGGAGCTATCAGCAAATGCATCGGGATCAACACAAATGGGTGGAAAATGTGACTGTATGGAACTTGGTTTTCTAACAAAGAAGTCCAAGTTGGTGGTTGGCTAGAACCTTTCCTTTTCTCCCAGATAACATGTGGAATTCAATGTTGGATGCTCAAAATGAAGGACAAAGGAGTCGTGCCTATGCTCTTAGGCAGTAGAAACTGATTTGTATGCTTGAAACAAATTTGATTCCATTTCCTAGAAGGTTGGTATGACAGAATTCCAAAGCCAGGTTCCAAATCCATGCACTTTTATTGGCTGTAAGTCTTCCCCAGCTTCCTAAGGACTCATTTCCAGATGCATCCTTTCACACCTCTCTCTCTTTACAGCGCAGACCCCAATTGAGGAGTTCACTCCCACACCTGCTTTTCCTGCTCTTCAGTACCTGGAATCAGTGGATGAAGGAGGTGTGGCTTGGCGAGCTGGTCTCCGCATGGGTGATTTTCTCATAGAGGTAATGGTTTGGCACAATGCTGAAACTCCTCTTTGGACTTCTTCATACAATATCTTAGCACTATTAGAAAATGATCTACGAATTTTCAATAAGGTAATGTCAGAATATGGTTGCTAGCCAGTATGAAGTGTCATACAGTTTTATGCTGTGTATAAGTTGGAATGGATGTACATAAAAAATGCAGAAAGGTTTGTTCTGGTTAAGCTTACAAAGCATTTGGAATTGTCCCAGAATTTGGAAGAAACAACAAAATGTGGATCTCACAACAAAAGATAATTCCCCAAACAACAGATGGTTCTCATATAAAATGGATGAGGCAATAGCACACTGGGAAAAAAGTGCCAGGATATTTGAAAAAAAAAAAAATGAGATTGGCTAAGCTTCGATGGATTGGTCAACTACTGTTGAAAGGTATAACTGATCAAGTGATATTTGAAGGTGTGGGAACTGTAATCATTTGGAACATCTCAGGGAAAGAGGTACCATATGAGAATCTTACCTGAACTTCTCTCAAATTTGCACCTGGCCACTCAGACTTTGCATGGCTGTGTGAATGTATAGAGAAATGAAGTTACACACCTGCATTTGTTTCTATGTGACTAAATATAGATATGATGGCTGGGAAATTCTGGGAGCTGAAGTCCATGTTTCTTAGAGTTCCTAAGGTTAAGAAATGCTGCTCTATATAAAAAAGAGCAATGTACAGGTGCTTTCCAGCTCTCAGTACAGTAGTATTGTGACAAAGATACATGGACATACATCAGTGCTTATTTGATCAACTATATTGGATCCCAAATTTAAAAAAAAAAATCCTGTTATTCTTTGGTTGCTACTTCCCTGTTGTGGTTTCCGTTTACCTCTCTGAAAGTATACATTTGCATGGTAGCTGCTATGAGGTGTGTTTTGGGGAGGTTTATAATGCTTCATGAGGGATATGAATTAATCAATGCATTCTGAAAATTCATGATTTTCATTATATCCTTCCTACACACTCATGCATGATCCTCCCACCAACAAGAATTGATCATAAAGAAGAATTCTGTTGGGTCAGACAATAGAATTTCATTCTGTCTATTTCCAACCCTTTCTTTTCTCACAATATACAGCCATTTGTCCTTCTCCCCTTAGGAGATAGTACCAGTGGTAGACTGCTCTGTAACATGGAAGTTTCAGAAGACTTCCATGATTAGCATTCTTTGATGGATTTTTCTTCTGTGAATCAGCCTATAGCTTATTTAAGATAACCTCAACCAAAAGTAGTGGCTGGTGGTTTTTTAAAATTAATCCTATCAGTTAATTGCACATCAGGGGAAAAGGTTGCAAAGATTAATTCACTTTGTGCTATATAGTCATTTGAATACATGCAAGAAGTTAGTTGGAGCATGCTAGCAGTAAAGAGAAATAAGGTAACAAGGGCACATGATTCAAAAATGACAATATTGAGATATTCTCTGCTGTCCCCAAAACTCCACACCCACATGGATAATGTCAGTTTTTGTTTCAGGTAAATGGACAGAATGTGGTAAAAGTTGGTCATAGGCAAGTTGTCAATATGATTCGACAAGGGGGCAACAACTTGATGGTGAAGGTTGTCATGGTAACACGGAATCCTGAGATGGAGGAGGCCATGAGGAAGAAAGGTACCATTCTGAGATTGTCTTGAGTGGGGAAAGAAGTCTTAATGAGTGTATATTATCCTGAGGGAGCTGGATATGGAAGCAGGGGAGAGATCTGCTTTGCATGCAGAAAGATTTAGGATTAACTATGGCATCTTCTGGATTGTAGTTGTTAGCAAGAAGTATCTGCATTCTTTGAGAGATGAATAGACTTCATTAGTTTTAAGAAGAGTGCTGAAGTAAAATCATGAATTTATATTCACACAACATAGCAAACCAAATACATACATTCATATCGCGTGTCAAGCTTTGTGGCTTTAGTGACTTAGCCATGAATTAAGGCCATTTGGTGGTTTTGTACTTTAATATATTGTGTAAACTCCCCAAATAAATTTATTCAAGAATCAGGTTAAGCAAGCTTTGTGAACCGAACCAAGAATTCTTTTCAAAAGCAAATAGGCAAGTGGGTTGGGGAAAAAAGTTAGCGGTGAGAGTTGGAGCAAGTTTGGATCATCGGACAAAATCCCAGACCTACCACTTTGTTTTTTACTTTAGCTGCACCACAGCAGACAAGACGATTACCCCCTCCATCCATCTCCTTGCGTTCCAAATCTATGACATCGGAGTTGGAGGAAATGGGTAAGGATACCAGTGAATTGCCATTTTCTGTACCAAAAGTATGGGGGGATTGTCTTCTAGTGCTTCCCATCCCAAACTGATGATACACACACATCCATTATAGGAGGGGAAGCTGCATTATATTGGAAATGCAATATAATCTGCGAACTTGTATTCTGTAATTTTTGTAAGAAATAATTGTGCTTTGGTGTGAACGCTAAATATAATTTTCCAGAAAAGGCTTTTGAATCATTTTGTAGGTTTTCAAGTATGCCTTTGGTTAAACTAACCTGGACCAAATATACTGAATCTTTTACATTCAACGTACCTTTACTATTTACTGGAATTAATGCATGCCAAGCTTATATATAACAATAGATTTTCCATCCTTGTAACTGCAGAATTCAGTGCCACCTCCCCTGGGCAAATGCCCATATTTTTCTTGATTCACAAGCCCCTTCTCTACAGGTAAAGTTTACAAAGCTGCCCAAAAGAAGAGAGCAAGGGAATGGAAGCTGTTACTTTTTTCTCTCATATATTTACAGCAGGAAAAAAGACTAGCAAGGTGGAGGACCTAGGGAAGATTCCCAGTAGACTTTTACTGAGGTTCTGGGAGAAATTTAGCATGGGTCAAAGTTCAGGAGTGTTATTCCTATATATGCTGTTACCATCTAAACAGATTTTGAAATTGTTTTCATAGAGAACAGATGCCTCAGAGTATTTAAGAAGACAGGTGTGGTAACCTGAAAATGCTCACAGGAATTCTGTATAGATGACAAAAACTACAGAATAGTAATCTGGACAAATCAGTAAACAAGTCAGTTTGGTCTAGGAGAACATTCTTTGTCATTTGGGGAATATATTATGTCATAATATCCTTTTGAGAAGATTCACACAGAAGATTCTTTCATACTATAGTTTTTTTATATCCCACTTAGAATCCCATAGGGATTGTTTGAAGGCTATCCTGTGTAGGTGCTTAGCCATCCTTTTCCCACATGGTATCTTCCAGATATGCCAGACAGGTATTCATCCATTATCTGTGTAATAGTTTGTTTTGACACATTGTGGAAGGGTAATTGTGGTGGGGCAGAGTGAGAGAGAAATACGGAAATTTCTTTCTTAAAAACATGGAGACTATTCTGGTAGATCTTCCACATAGAGAGGGTCATGCTGTGAGCTGGACAGGAGCAGTATTTTCTGCTTTTCTTTTGTCACCTTCCTCTTTATTTTTGTTCATCCGCTGCTGCCTGGAACTTCCAAAATCTTGGTCTGTCACAGTGGAGAAAGGTGAGCTTCTGCCCCCTTGCCCTCCAGAATTTTGCTGCAGCCATAACAGAAATATTAAGTGGATTATATGTGTACATATTACATACATACTCACATGCATCGGCCTGTTACTTTTGAAATGTTATTATCTCCAGTTTGATTACATCTTGGTTCCACCCATTGCTGTCATTAATGTTTTTGCTTGGAAAAAGAAACAGTCGAAAGATAGCCCACACAAAGTTATTTTGTAATGAGGAAATCTAAAATGCTAGAAAAACATTGCAAACTAATCAGAACACATGTCTGTGTAGATAGTCTAATATATTTACAGTTATTTAACAGTTTTACTTTTTATTTTTCATTTGGCACACTGTGCAAGCTTTTCTTTTTTTCAACTCCCTCCGCTCAAGTGGCTAAGAATACTTCTTTTTCTATACTTGGTTTTATTTTTAATTAAAACTGGGCTTCTGACTACAACCCTGAATAGCAGAAATCCTAACCTTCCTCAGCGGCAGACCATTTAAAGCTTCAGTTCCATCTCTCCCCCTACATATTCTTCCTGCTGCCAGGAAATTTCTGTCAAACTATCAAAATGTAATGGAGCTTTCAGGCCTCCTTTCCAGTTAACTGGCCTGTCCAAGTAAAAGTGCTAATTTTTTTTCCCCTCTTGCTATCTCCCTCCCATCATTCAGTCTCCCCTTGGAAGAAGAAAGCAGGTGAGTGTCACACATTCCCCACCACTCCACACGCACCCTGACCCACCTGCTTCTCTCTCATTAACTCCTACGCCCAACCCTGCTCTGTACACTTCCCTGCCCCATGCTCTTATCCATCGCTGCCACCCACTTCCATGCACACAGCTCCAGGAGCCAGTTTTCTGTGACACGTCAACACCAGTCTGCATCTCGCACTCCCACTATCCTTCCCTCCTGTCGTCTCTACAGATTATGAACCAGCGATGAGCACTGATAAGAAGCGGACTGTCTATCAGATGGCTTTGAGTGAGTCGCAAACATACCTCGCAACAATAACCTGTACATGGAAAGGGTGGGGGAGGGGATATCTGTAGAGATTCCGGGGTGGATGCTCACAAAAAACTTCATATAAATCTGTTGACCTGTATAAGATGTACATGTCACTTTAGCATTTGGTGACCATTTATATTCAGTTATTATTGCAGGACAAGGATCAGTAACTTTTAAAAGTATGAGACATCCCTGTGTACTGTCATGCAGTGTCACGAGGGCCAAAATACTACCTAAATCTAATGAGATTTCCTATGAGATTTTTCAATATTAGGCTGCCTCATAAGAGTTTAGCAGTTTTTATTTTTTAAATAATTCATTTTGAAAGTCAGTGCCTTGTAGTGTTATCATGGGCATTCTGTTGAAGTACAATAAATACACTTCAAGGTGTTATAGGTCAAATGATAGCTCGAAGATGCCTGCATAGAAGAAACAATTGAATGTCACAATTGCCCCTCTTGTGGTTAAAGAAGAAAATTTATAAGGGCTGAATTTTTTGTATGCCTTCTTCCCAAGTACAGCTTTTATCCATATCCCTGGAGAAAAGGAAACAGTTAATTCCTCTCCCCTTCCTTCAGTGATCCTTATTACAGTCTTGCTGGGGGAGCTTTACTGTTCTCTTTGCAACTATTTTAGTGCAGTTGAAATTGTCATTAACATCTGTTTCAAGGAAAGAAAAGAGACACCAGTTCCTAGTGATACCAATTCCATGCATGTATGTATAATCCATAGTCAGTTCTCTGGCACCGCAAGTAGCTTTCTGGCTGAAAAAAAATGAATAATAAGATGACACGGCTGGTTCATATGTTGTACTAAGCCACGGACTGTTAAATAAATCATAGCAACTAGATTCTTACTATTTACCTATTTGCTATGAATTGAGGCTACCTTTGGCTCTGGAGTAGATTGCCTAAGAGTTACATGCTGAAAAAGCACATCAATTCAGGACCTAAATTTGATTTATTACTGGCTTAGATGCTCATATGGACTGTAATAATGCTACAGAGCAAGCAGCCTTTGGTTCAGTCTGTGGTGTTAAAAACTGTTTGGGCCTCTCCCAGGGATTGCAGCATTACATTCTATGTACAAAAATGCAGCCCAAAATAATCTGAACCCCAATGGCAACACCTATGACACCACTGCAAGCAGTCCCCTATATTGCTTGCCATTTCTCAAGAACAAATTTGAAAAGTACAATAGGAACCAAGCAGGGAGCTTTCCTTGATATGGCAACACTACAAATGCATTTGAGAACTAAAGGCAAAAATACACATTTTTTTCAAAGATTCACAGAGAGGACTTGGGCTGGCAGGAAATGTGTTCATCATTGGTGCTTTCTAGAACACAGTAGTTTGTATAGCAAGCACAATTCTTGTATAAATACTTTCAGTATGGAAGTCTTATTGGGCAACATGTTATAAGGGTTTAGCCATGTTTAGAGTTTTTTTAGTCAGATATGTCAATTGTGTCCATGTACTATCTGTCATCCTGTACTAGGAATATTTATGGTCTATTTTATCTGTTCTTTTGGACTATAAACTAGATTTCTAATACTGTAATCCTTTTTATTTATACCAGGGATGGGTGGCATGTTGGTGGCCACACCATTTTCCTATTAACATTTCAGGAACCAAAAAGGTGAATGAGTCTGGGACACCTCTCCCCCCACATCTTCTACCTTAAATGTCCTTGCGTGTTCTCTTTCATTCTTGTATATCCATTCTGTTGTATGCTTTTGTACATACAATGTGGGATTGCTGAAGAGAATAGAGAGCTTTTAACTTGATCCTCCTGCTTCCTTCCTTCACTTCCCAGCCGTAGAATCACCATGTTCTCTACAGCTAATAGCTGTTAGTAAACAACCATTTTTCCTGCAAGTATTCAGAGGTGAAGGCAAATAGTCTTCTTCCGTGAATCCATGAGGGCTCCAGGAAGCAGTTATTTGTTCCTCTGCTACCTACCTGACAGCTGATCATTTGGTTAGTAAAGGAAGGCAAGTAGGGCTCCATAGCTAGGAGCCACTCATAGCCCTAATTTTACTAAACAATGGTTGAGACAAACAGCGTTGTTTGTTTAGCCCCTAATTTAAATTTAGCCAGATTTTTTTTTTAAATTACCTTGAATATGTACTTTTTCCTTCAACATTTAAAATATATCAAGAGGACTTTGGGATTCTAGTGAATAGTAATTATAAATAATAACAGATCACATGGGAGTGAAATCTGCTTACTTTAGCATAGACTTAAATTTTTAGACAGAGAAAAGGAACTAAATTTGTATAGATTCTGTTAAGTAGCAGCTTATAAAAAGAGAAGTGTTGGTTAGAACACGGACTATAATGTGGCCCTCTTTTATGATGGCTTCCCTCTTTTTTCCTCACTCTCTTTTGTAGATAAATTAGATGAGATTCTGGCAGCAGCTCAACAGACAATTAGTGTGGGGGATGGGTGTGGCAGTGGAGGACTTCCTTCGTTGGGGAAGACACGGGGCACTACGAAAAATTATTTCTCCTCTGAGGTAAGATGGACACTCAGATGATACAACGGTGAGGATACCAGGTTTTCACTAGGCCATGAGGTGTTTTCCATTGGAGGGGGGGTGGAAATGGTTACAGGCATTTTAAAAATGGTTCAGAGGGTTGCTTTGGATTTAAGCAGCACACCTTTAACATAGCATTTAATGCAGCAGCATCCACATTTGTATAGAAGCTGGGAAAAACCGTGCATGCTTAAATAAATAGGAGAAAGTTATTTGTTCATGTGAAGTCCAAAGCATTCCTGAATCATATTTGAAGCATTTAAATTATCTGCTGTCTCTCTTGCTCAAGAACACGGACCTGAAGAAGATGAGAGCTCGTACTGTGTTGGGGTTTTTTTAATTGCTTTCAAATTCTGCTCAGATGAGTGAGAAAAATAGAGTTAAAGCATATTACTTTTAATGCAGTTGCTAATATTTTTCTTCAGAGCAAAGGTTTAAACTTCAAATTAAACATACTAAATATATTTATTTTTATTATAACATAGACAACAACAGCCCTGTGAGATTTGAGGTGGCTGTCTGCTCTTTGGGCATTTTTTCTCCAACGCTCATGCTTTTATTTGGTAGCACTGCTATCTATTACTTGCTGTTCTGTTGCTTCCACAGTTCCTTTTCTACCACGGCTTGTCCCCTCTTTCTTCTCCATTTGTCAATACCTTGATTAAAAATTAAGAGTGGAAGGTATGTTCAAATATATATCTTCAACTTACAAGCTCCAGGCACTGAACCATCAAGTAATATCTCTTGAGGGCACTCAACCAAAGGAGGTGTTGTGTGACAACAGGACAGGCCTGTGATTTCTCAAGTAGCCTTCTTGGGTATGTACCCATAAAGATTAGTTCAACTTGCTGACACTTTGTTTTGAGAAGTGTTCAAAGTCAGCAACAAAAGTTCTGCCCGTTGCCATTCACTATCATTATTGGTTGAATTCCCCTGGAAACAGCATCTGATTAGTTGCTGCTACTTAATGCTTACATTTTGAGGAATTCTTTATTTGCAAATGCTGTGATGCAGTAATGGTTTTTAATGTCATTGGGTCTCTGAAAAGTTATTTGGGATCTACACTGGGTTGAAGAAACCTTGGTTAAATTCCATTGAACATAGAATTTGGTGGGATGTCAATGTTTGTTGCCTCATCTTAAAGAACAGTTTGTATTTTTAACATGAATTACTTCAGATGTTAAATTCACTATCTATAATTGGAAAGGTATGTGAGAAATTGCTGTTAGAGAAAGCCAGAGGATTATGTGCATGTCAGTCCCAAGTTATGCAATATCTGCAAGAACAAAGGGAAAAAAAGCATTGAAAAGGATAGGGCTCATTGCTTTTAATTGGTCAAGTCCAAAATCTTGTTCATCTGAAAGTATTTCAAATTGGGGCTTTGGTTCACCATCAAGATTATCCCAAAAAGGTAGTAAAATCCCCTTTAATTTTAGAAAGAGATTATTTGGTACTGAAGATAATACAGCTGTATTCATGAGGAAGTTATGAGGTCTAGTTCAGTTCTCCAAATCAGAAGCTCTTTTAGATGGAAGATTGACCATTTAACACAGAAGTTGAATTTAGTAACTGTTTAGCTTGTTGAATTATCTTCGTTATAGAGATTCTGATCTCTATTCAGCCACAAAATGTATTCGGTGACTATAGACCTCTATTACTCACATTCTCTTGGTCAAGTCTGCTTCAACAGTCGGCTATAAAAATAAGATAGAGAAGAAGAAGAACCACGTACAAGGCTCTGACATCTTGGAAGGGATGTTATAAATATGTAAATTAGTTGTTAATATTAGTAAGCAATGCTAATGAAAGTAAGAATCATTGGCATATTATTTAAAAGCATTATTGCAATTATTTTATATTGGGGATGTGTAAGGAAGCATTGCTTTGTATTCATTCTCCTAATGACAGCACTCTTGTTTAAGAATTTAGGCATTGTTTCCAAACAGGCTATTAAACTTTACTACTTTTCTTGCTTTTGAGACTGACATCCTGGGAGGGGGCAAGGATTATGTCTGCAACATTTGCCAACTGAATTCACTACTAATAAAAGAAATTATGACCATGGTGTTTCCTAATGCCTGTAAATATTTTATCATTTCATCTTACCAGTTCTTGGCTTTTTTTTTCCTCTTGTTTTTTCTTTTCTTTCAGCCCAGTTTTGAACAACACCGTCTTGGTCAGGCCAGCTATGAGCGCCCATCATACTTACCAAGTAGCCATCCCCCTGGCATGATGCTTCGCCAGAAATCTATTGGTGAGATTGGGTTTAGAAGATGTGAAATAGGAACTGCATTTAAGCCTGGAGAAAAAATTTAGGAACATCTCTAAAGTCTTTTCGCTTGCCAGCCATTCTCCCTTTAGTATTTGTCTGATTTAACAATATTTCATCTGCTGCCAATTTCCTGGAACTTTCTTTTTGGGGAACGGGGGGGGGGGAGAGGTTTAGTAGCCAGAGTCCTCTCAGTGTGGAGGACAGATTGTCTGACATTCTTCCCCTTGTAATGAGTGGGTTTATTTGTACTGAGTTGTGTGCTTATTAGGCCTTGAAGGAACCTAGAACTCAGGAAATTAGTCTCTTCCTAAAGGTTTGGTGTCCATGGAGCCCTCTCAGACAGAAGCTAGACCATATGACACTGGTTTTGGTAATGAAAAAATTCTGTAGTCACTGGCCTTGCAGAAACAGGGCTTTCTAGAAAATCAGCAGCTCCAGTCTCATTAATTAGTAGACATTTTCCTTAGAAACACTGACATCACTACAGAAGAGGGGAAAGGGGAATTTTTCTTTGTATGTGCTTATGGATTCATGTACAGATGTACATAGATAGTATGTACATGTAAGCTGTGCATATGTTTGACGAAGACTCACCAACCATTTCCCATCTGTGGCCACAGTGAACCAAAAGATGTGCTGCTGCTGCTGCAGTCCAATGAAGTATGGCCACTTATCCATGAAACAGTAATTTGAAGCATTTATCATGTGGTGGGTTGGTGTGAAAAAGCTTTTTATGGCTTGGGGACAATAACAGTCAGTAAAAAAAAAACATCCCTGTGGGGTTAGGTTATAGTAAATGTGAAATATGCCAACGTCACATCTAAATAAATAAGGAAGAGCTGAGAAAGGAGGGAAGAAATAATCCCTGGTAACTGGATGCAGTGATGGTAACATTCCTTCCCTCCACAGGAGCAGCTGAGGACGAGAAGCCCTATCTCGCTCCCCCTGTTATGAAATTCAGCCGCAGCCTTTCAGTCCCTGGTTCCGAAGACATTCCCCCACCTCCAACCACCTCCCCTCCTGATCCACCATACAGCAGTACATCACCTGCATCTGGTCGAGTTACTCCCTCAGCCCGCTCAACCTTCAATCCCAGCACTGAGGCCAAGCTGTACTCCACTTCTCTTCATCAGGATCCATCATATGAGCCACCTCCTCGTGTCCGTGACAAAATGTCTCTTTACCGCCAAGAGTCTGAGCAAGGAGCTGAAGGGTCCACAGCACGTGGATGGAGGGGCCACACACCTGACCTGCGATATTATAATTTGCCCCCTCGAGCAACTAGCACCGCCATGTATGTTCCCACCAAGCCCATGCGCCGCAAAGGTCCACTAGTCAAGCAGACCAAAGTGGAGGATGAGCAGCGCCAGCAGCAGGGTACCCCCTCTTCCCAGATGCAAGCATCATCTTTACCATCTCAGTCATCCACACAATCCGAAAAAAGCTCCATCCCAATACCCACCATTATAATTAAAGCTCCTTCAACCAGCAGCAGTGGGCGTAGTAGCCAGGGAAGCAGCATGGAGGCAGAGACCCAACCAGAGCCTGTGGTGCCTGTCCCATCACTCCAGCTTCATAACAGCATGGATTTCACTAGTCAGTTTGGGGCTGCCCTAGTTGGAGCAGCCCGACGAGACCGTGAATGGTACAGTGAGGCTCGCCGCAAGTCTGCCCTCTTCCTTTCCACTGAGCAACCGGATGATGAGTCTCAGCAGATGCCTGTTCCCCGTCTCCGCCATTCCAAATCCATTGATGAAGGTATGTTTTCCAGTGAGCCATACATTCAGCTAAACATGGCTTCTGGCTTTGGCAGTAGCAGTGGTGGTGGGAGCAGCCAAGGTTATCTTCAGTCTCGCAGTGCTAAAACGTATGGAGCCAGAACTACTAGTGCCTTCAGTTCAGTATGTTCAAGTTTCTTGCCACAACTCCAGCCCCATTCAACTCCTCTCATTCACCCACTGACTGGCAAGATTTTAGATCCTGGATCCCCCTTGGGACTCGCATTAGTTGCACGTGAGCGGGCTTTAAAGGAGTCCCAGTCTCAACAAGAGAGCCGAGAAGAGAGGCACTCACGCCCATCCTCTCCCCGGTTTGGGGAAGCTCTTAAAACTCCTGAGTCTCCCAGCAGTTCCATCTTGCGCCTCTGGGAGACATCAGAGCAGCAGACTCATCATCAGCGGCCTGCATCACCCCGGAAGGAGCAGGAGAGCCCCCAACCTGAACAACAGCCCCATCCAATCTCAGCTAGAGCAACTCCTTGGGAAAAAAGGCCTGAAGAAGGAGAGAAGCTGGAGCTACATGTGCACTTTGTGGAGAACTGCCGCCCAGCAGAGGAGGAGGAGGAAGAGGAGGAGAGCAGCCAGGAGAGTGGGAAAGTTGAGGTGATTGCTCCCCCAATGGAACGAGCGGCAGAAGAGAATGGACTCCCGCTGTTGGTGCTGCCCCCACCTGCCCCTTCCATTGATGTAGATGATGAATTTGTCTTCACAGAACCACTTCCTCCACCCCTTGAGTTCTCCAATAGCTTTGATAAACCTGAATCTCCCCCCAAAACTGCTGGTGAACTGCCCCCAGCAGTAGCCCCTTCAGCCGCTCCATCTGCCCCTGCCACCTTAGATTCTACAGCATCCAGCCTGACCTCCTATGACAGCGAAGTAGCCACCTTGACCCAAGCTGGTACAGCAGAAACCAAGGAATCTCCTCATGTCAACTTTTCTTCTGTTGTCTCATCCATTGCCATTCCTGCAGCAGAAGCATCTGAAGCAGTAACCGACTCGGGAATTGAGGAGGTGGACAGTCGAAGTAGCAGTGATCATCACTTAGAGACTATCAGCAGCGTCTCAACGCTATCCAGCATGTCTGGGGAGGGCACAGAACTCTTGGATACCTACATCACCTACTTGGATGGTCAGGCTTTTGGGGGGAGCAGCAGCAGTGGTAGTGGAGTAGGTGGTGGTGGTGGCAGCATAGACAAGAGTCCGCTGCAGACCAAACTACGCTCCCGGCCATTTCCAGGCCGCTTGCCAGTGGCTACCCCTACTAGCTCCACCATCTCAGTTTCGGCATGTACTGAAAACATGTTTGCCCTCACACCTGCTCCTCCATACCACCAGCAACCAGCAGCTGTTGAGCCTGGCAAAGAGTTGCCGCAGAAATCTTCACTGCCGTGGGAAGAGCCTAAGGCATTGCCCATGTCCACCGTGAAAGCTAGCATCATTAGTGAGCTGAGCACCAAGCTGCAGCAGATGGGCGGGGTGTCGTGGTCAAGACCACCTGATGCTGTGTCTCCCTTTGGTTCCGAGAGACCCAGCTCCCTGCAGAGGCAAAGGTATTAGTCGACTGGAACAGGAGGAGGAGGAACAGGAAGCAGGAAGCCAGCTCCGTGCATGCTGCATCTCGTGTTTCAGTTGGGTTTGTCTCCTTTTCTCATTCTCCCGTCAGTGCTTGCTTGGTTATGATTTCTGTTGTTTTCTGTTTGCTTTTTTTGACTACCATTACATCATTTGAAATGCTAGCAGCACAAGGCAAGGTTGTGCCATATACAAAGCAATTCATACTTCATATCCAAATAGCAATGTGTATTTATGGTACCTTGTACATATGTTTGCTGTACATCTCTGGCTTATAGTTATGTGTACATGCTGAACATTTTGTGCATTCCTCTGATTGCTCTTACGCACAGGCAGAATAGATTTTGAGTTCTTAGGCACACATGGCCATTATGTGCACAATCAAGCACAAAATGGCTTGATTACAGTTGCATGTATGTATTTATAAAGTCCCCCTATATGTATGTGGCCGCAGCTTTTTTATTATCTGCACATAGACATATTTAGGCAAAGTGCCTTCTGACTGGCAATAATCAAGGATTTCGCCCAAATGTTAAGTTTTAGAATTTGCAATGTGCTAACAATCTACGGATAATGAAGACACAGACTCTGTGGCATACCCTTAAAAACTCTAGATATGTGGCATAAATAACTCTAGATATAAACAAATATACCAGGTATCTTGCAGTTAAGCAGAATTCATTTTTGTATGTGTATACTTTTAAAAAGGAATAATTAATTCCATGGTTCAATCATTTACATTAGTGAAAGGAAAGCTTATTATGCCTGATACTGGTAGTCGTTGATAATGTGCAAAGCTTCCCCTGCGGCCCCCTCCTCACCAGCAGCCCCCCAGAGGAGAATAGCCCCTGGGCATGGCCCACACAGAGCAGCACGACCAAGGACATAGCAGATGGGCAGCAGGGACAAGACTCCACCCTCGCACACCGTTGCAGATGATGCTGTGGGGTGCGGGCAGAGGACTTGGCTGCCATGGTACTGCAGGGCCGCCTGGGCGATCTGCAGTGTGCCGTGGAAGCGGTAGGTGGCCCTGCAGGTGGGTGGGGCAGGGGGCAGAATGAGCGGGGGCAGGGCATTTTGGGGGAACTCGGTGTCTAAAAGGTTCGCCATCACTGTTCTAAAGTGTATTCCCATCAATTCCAGGTCTGAAGTGGGCCAAGTACTACCATCAGACCCAACTCCATGTTTCACGCAAGATATTTTATTTCGTCTTCCTCTTTATTTGGACTGCTCAGTCAGCCCAATATCCAGGGGAAAGGGGGGGGGAGAGAAGAGAGATACTTCTGTAATTTTACTCAACCTAAGAGATGGGGGAGCTGAAGGGGGGAATTGTATTGTGCATGAACACAAAAGGAAAAGTCTTAACTACCCCAAATGGATTTTAGGAAAAAATATTTTTTAAAAAAAATTATCGACACTGTTCTGAACTGAAGCTAAAGCTTAGGGGAAGACTAATAAGGTGCAAGCCAGCTGTTTCAGTTGAAGGATTCCTAGGAAGAAAGGCGTGGCCCAACCTGGTGGTACCTGATATATTACCCTCAACTTCCAAGGAAGGATGATAACCGTTGCTGTCCTAGATTGATAGAAGATAACAGGCTTTTGGTCTTTCCTGCACAGCCTCAGATTCATAAATCCTAGTGCATTTTGGATGGTCAAGTTCTTCATCTTTTTGGTTTTTTAAGAAAAGGGATGGGTAATGGAAGAGAACCAGTAAGCAGTTTTTTTATCACTTACATGCTGATGATGAGCTTGTCCTGACATCTTTGCTCTTTTGTATCATGGAATTTCCTACCCCTGGTTCATCTCTGTAGCTATTAAAGCTGCTTGCAACTTTTTCTGATCATTTAAAGTAGATGCTGTTATGCTGTAGGTCAGTTTTTCTCAACTATGGCAGCTTTCAGATGTCTGGACTTCAACTCCCAGAATTCCCTGACTAACATAGCTGGCTTGAGCATTCTAAGAGTTGAAGTCCACATATCTGAAAGCTGTCAAGGTTGAGAAACACTGCTGTAGTTTATGCATGCATGCATACACCAATCAACGCACATGATTGATGTGGGCACTGGGGATCTGTAGCATCTTTCCATTCAACACAATTATAACATTTCATTTGCTCCATTATTTCATTCATCCACAATCACATCAGTGCTGGGAAAATACAATGAAGTTCCTCCAATATCATATTATTTCCTGTATCACAGTTGAGGCATGCTTCATATGAATTTCTTGCCTCAATGAATTCTTTTTCTATTGCAATGGTATTCCTTAATCCATCAAGGACTATAAAGCACTTATTCCAGTAATATATGATCATCTTACATTTTTTTTCCAGCAGTGCTGTTTATCTGCCACTTAATTCCTGATTTTTCCACAGATTTCTCCCAAGTTAGCAACAAGGAAGTGTTACCTTCATAATGGCTTCCTTCGGGTGTGTTGGAATTTGATTCCTAGTATTCCTAACCACTAACACTCAATTGAGATTTCTTCAGTAATAATTCCAACATTGGAACTGAGTGCCCCATCTCTGAGATAATATAAAGATGAATATTAATGGATCTATTACTGTTACTGAGTATTGATGCATTGAAACATGTCTACTATAACCTGAAGTCTGTACCTTGGAGAAATATGTTAGTAAAATATCATCGAAATAAATTAATTGAAAGCATCTGCTAGACTAAGGATTCCTAGTTAATTTTCTTCCAACAGGGAACTTGGTAGATGATAACTATCTCACTTTCCTCGTCTTCTTTCTCTGCAGGCTCCCAGATGACACATCCCCATCACTGATTTCCTCCAAGCCTGTAAGCAGCCTTTTCCACAACTGGCCTAAGTCCCCCCAGGGCAAGCATCCCAAAAGTGTGGACTTCGACATCCGTCCTGCCCTGCAACGGGCTCCAAGTCCAGCTGCCCTGCCCAGTGAGCACAAGATTAGCCCCACCCCAAGGCCATCCTCTCTTCCCATCCTGCCTTCTGTGCCCATCTATACTGGCGTCTTTGACCTCCGTGGTTCACCCACTTCTGGGGGTGAACATCCCTTCCCCAGCTTTCCTTCAGGCAGCCGTTCTCTGTCCCCAACCCACTTTCTGCCTCCAGCCACGGACAAGCCGTTTGGCTCCAAGCCGCTGCCTTTCTGGACTAAATATGATGTGGCTGACTGGCTGGAGTACCTGAAGCTGGGGGAACACCGTGATCGATTCCTGGACAACGAAATCGATGGATCTCACCTGCCTTCCCTCACTAAAGAAGATTTCATTGACCTGGGCGTGACGCGAGTTGGGCATCGCATGAACATCGCTCGTGCCCTCAAGTTCTTTCTGGAGAGGTGATGGGGGAAACTGCCCTGCCCCGGGGAGCCTCTTGCCTGAATGTACAATGGACCTCCACCATGGGGAGAACAAAGAGGTGGAGGGGTTGCAGCTGCGGGGCCGGGCACAGGGGAAGTGGTGAAGAGAGACCCTGTGGGGGTGAGGGTAGAGTGGGGGATCTTGGAGAAGCTCACCAAAGCCTGCCTGGGCACCCACGTGGGTGTGCACTTTTCTCTGTTGCATTGCCATGTAGCAATTTACTCATTTCATATATCCAGCCCAACAGCATCAACATGAGTGTATGAACACTTAACCCGTGTATCATCACTTTCCAGATGTGTGTGTGTGTCTATAGTTGTACACATACACTTGCTCTTCATTCTCCATCAGTATAGCCACCAGCTTTGCCAATCAGATGATTGGTACTAGCCATCCATTAGTGCAACAGCTTCTACCTGCCCCCATCCCTCATCCTTTCTGTTGTTGCTGATGGTCCTTATGTAGCAACTGCTATTTACACATCAATTCATTCAACCAGCTTGCTCTGTACATCTCCACAATTATCAGGATTGTTAAGTACTCTGCTGTTGAAAAGAAAAAGACCTGCTACAAGAAACTGAAATTTGCATATATTTCCTTATTTTGCAAAACATTCTCTAGGGAGAACCTCAGATTATTCAAGTGCTATACTTACCTGATAGGAATATTGGGTTTCTCCTCCCAATAATTACCCTTGAATTGGAATGGGCTCTTAATATTAGCTAAGCAGAATTTTTAGAAATAGTTACTGAAAACCATAGGTTCCTTGGAAGATAAGCCAACACTTGTTTTCATTGGGTGAGCTTCAACCTTATTTGTGATGCCAAAATTGGGCTTTTCTCTTTTTTCATCTCTGTTCAATTATTTCATTGCCTTATTTCCAATTGCTTTTGTTCCCACTTTTCTCTTTTCACCTTTTTCTGGTTCAGTTACCTCTTCCTCTTGCTTTCTCCTTCATTTTTATTCTTATTCTCTTCTGTGTTATTGTTATTTTCATTTTGACTGTTTCCGCTGGAAGAAGGAAAGGGAATCTGTGTTTCTGTGTGAAAATAGTTGGTTTATGCAGATTGAGTGTAAGTTGTTGTGTCCTGTCCTGGCCATTTTGGGGATGTGGCTTCTGCAGATATTTATATAATCTCTACAGTCATACATGCATGTGCATATACCAACTTGTCATATGCAAGTATTTATTGGTGGATAGAGAGAACAGCCTAGGTCAGGGGTAGGCAACCTTGGCTCTTTTATGATAGTGGACTTCAACTCCCAGAATTCCTGAGCCAGCATGAGTGGCTCAGGAATTCTGGGAGTTGAAGTCCACAAGGCATAAAAGAGCCAAGGTTGCCTACCCCTGACCTAGATTGACAAGATATGGAAGATGGGCATTGCACAGGGTTTTCTCTGTCCCTCCCTCTCGATCTATCTACCTACCTACCTTCCTTTTGTTCAGGAAGAATGTCTTAAATTTAATGTCTTCTTTTTTGATAAATATAATTATAAACTGCTAGAAACTTGCTTTCTGAATTTTCAGTGGAAATAGAGAATGGATGCGGGATTATGAGTCTTAATAACAACACCTGGCTGACTTTAGAGTAGGAAGATAAGGCACATTGGTACATAGATAGGGTTCCTTCGGGAGATATCAAGGTAATAGGCTACACTGGGACATCACCCATCCAAGAAGAAACCAATGTCACAATGCTACTGTTGCCAAGAAAATGGCATAGACAATGTCCATGAAGTCGCCAAGAATTAAGCTTGACTTAAAATAAGATGATATACTTGTTCAAAGTAGGCACACTGCTGTGACTCTAATCCATGGCATGACTTGTACTCCATGGTCACACAGTTCTGACTCCCATTGCATATGACCTTTTTAGGAAGACAAAAACATTTTTGATAGTACTAAACCAGTGGTTCTCAACCTGTGGGCCGGGACCCCATTTCACGGGGGTCGCCAAACAAGGCTGTCCACCATTTTTTCCCCTTTGGCCACGCCCCTGATACCCGGTGATGTATAAGTGGTTGGGGATCACCACAACATGGGGAACTGTATTATGGGGTCGCGGCATTAGAAAGGTTGAGAACCACTGTACTAAACCTAAGCATAAGAGTATAGCTCTTGTATGCTGGGCATGCACTGTCTATAAATCAAGGCTATCACTACGTTGACAAAAGAAAGTGGGTTTGTCCTTTTTGAGAGGCTGTACCCTACATCAGCACTAATGAAATTCAGTAGCTAGGGATGCTTAGAATTGACAGCATTGTAGGGACTGATGCCAGCATTATCTTGAAGGATGGATCTGAGCAATACTAACATAGGCTATTCCCTATGATCCACTGTCCCAAGTTATTTCAGTAGGATAAAAAGAGCAGTCAGGAAACAGCACGTTAATATTCCATAAACAGGGCCATTTGCAAGTCACTTCAAATGGGTGGGGTGGTACTTTGTGTTCTGATCCTGTCGGAAAGAGATTGAATGTGTTGAGTCTACGAAAAAGTTTGTGAGTAAAAGCTACATAAAAGGAAATGGCACATTCCTCAGCTAATGTGGCCAAAACCTTGTGAAATTATTTTCATTGTAATAATTGATTCCGATTAGACAACCAACTTAAGCAATGGGTTGTGTGTGGCTTAATCCTATAATAGGGCCGAAGCGGGTGGCCTGGTTCCCATAAAATGTGCATTTAAATGACCTGTATGTAAACCTAACTATGTTTCAGCTGAAGGACAGCATCCTAGATCTTCAGTATAAAGATAGAATGTAGTCTGCCTTTCAAGCTGTTGCCTATAATAATCTCAGACACTACCAATCACTTCCTGTTAATATGATTAGTAATCAATCACTAATCAAAGGTGTTGATTTGCCTATAATAATCTCAGACACTACCAATCACTTCCTGTTAATATGATTAGTACTTTTCATAGAGACCACTTGAATCTCAAGTCTATATCCTTAGGAAACTTGATTGTATTTGATGCTTGTGTGTTGTAGGGCTCATTAATGAACAAACCTAGGACACTCAGAGTGCATAATATTGAGCTGAATAAATGGCTCTTCCTTGCCCCCTCTCTTTCTACCACAGAGTACACACAATCCTGACCATAGCAGTATGCAAATACTGTTCCTTCATATATCTTGTGATTTGGTCCATGCATGTTGTACTTCCATGCTCTTGTGCTCTTTCTCCACTCCTTGCATTCTCAGGTTCAGCAACAGGCTTCATATTTTCATTTCAGAATCGGTTTCATTTGCACATGACTCATATTTCTGTACTTCCAAATACGGAGATGTGCATTTGAGTATTTCCCCAACAAAGTTGGAAGCGGGACATCTCTTATGTTCTTCTACCTATGGAGTATCTGTGGCAACATTCTAGCTCCAGATTGTAGCAAAGACAAAAGAAGCTGGAAAGGGGCAGAATGTAGGATAGGGATAAATTCTCCCATTCTGGTCTCCTTCTGTATTATCCTGTTTTCCTACTACCAGCCCAAACTTGGAGTGGGAGTGGGGCGGGAATCTTAGATATTGACCACATCTGTGCTGTGGTTGGAGTATTCCTTCCCCCTCCCTTATGCTGAGCTGCCAAAGAAAAAGACTCCAATGTGTGGGGGGGGAGGGTGTTCCATAAATTCTCTCTCTCCCCCCCCCCCATACACAGAGACAGTGCCAGACCCCAGCAATGGGCAGCTTTTTTGCAAGATACGATTCAGATAAAGGGAGTTCTTGCTCCTGCTCTTTGCTGGGATCCTCAGTAGGTTGCTGAGTGGGAGCAGGTGTACCTCTTCACTTTCTTACCTTCCCAATCTTTATACCGGAGATTGTGAGCTATGGAGAAGTCTGTAGGACTCGTTCCATGGCTGTAGGCCTTGTGGCAGCCCCATTTCAGCACCTCACCAATGCTGTGACTACCACTAGCTGCCACTACCACCACCCTGGCACATTTGGGCCATGTAGCTGGCCTATTCTTGTTCCTTGAAAACATTTTGTGTCAGATAGCAAAGTCCTCTTTCCACCATCATTAAGAACATGGCGTAGCCACGCCACATTTGTGTAACGTGGATCTTGGCACATACCCATTTCCATGATGTTGGGTAACTTGCACATCTAACACCTGTTGAGACCAGCAATGTACCCTTTTCTGTTCATGATCACACAATTAACCCAGGCATGCAAAAAAAAAAAAAAAAAATCCAACTTGTGGTAGGCCCCGTCTGCAAATAAACTTTTACATGGGCAGCCAGGATATTCACCAAACCTTAAAAGTTTCAGCTTTGCTTTTATTAAACAAGGGGAACTTGTGGCCCTTGTTGGAAAATGCAGGGCAAGGATGATGCTCAAAAAGTGCAGCCAAGGTTGCAAGTGCTTGTATCTCCAGGAGGAAGGCCTGTTTTCAGCAAGCACTCTTGTCCTGGTGCCTAGCTTGGGAAAATACAGGATCACGAAGTCTACATGAGCAATTTTTTCTGAGATACTGTGTGGCTCCCTGCAGCCTAAAAAGGAGAAGGAGGCTGGGTCTGGACTCTGAAGGCCTCAGATGTATGTAAAGGGGTGGCAGAAATCCCTAGAAAGACTAGAAACCATCGATAGGAATAGCTAGATCATAGAATGAGGTGAGAAGGAGTCAGCCACCATGTTGATATGAGAGAGAAGATGAAAGGGGTGAAACTCATACCGATAAAATAATGGCCTTGTCTATTAAGGCAGATATACCAACAATACTGAGTGATGTTGGACTGGTCTGCAGGATATTTTGAGTGGAGGCATCAACCAATTTGCATGGCTGGGTTAACCCTTCTGATGTCAGGGTACTGCCCTGTAACTCTTTGTGCCTCCCTCTCAGGATGCCTCTTGCCACATCACTGTCACACCCACATGCACCTCCTGTGGGTCACCCTTTTGCTGCCACATTTTGAACATGCCATGTGGCTATTTCTATTGTGCCTCCAAAAGCCACAGCTCCATATCGTGGCCTCATTGCTTGGGTTCAGGCATGTGGTTGCCTGCCCCTCCACAGTCCAGCAGCCACTGATGCCACAACCTTAGTGCCATGTGGTGATAGCTCCCTCTTTCCCCCCCCCCCGCCCCCACTGTGTGGCTAATGACGTGCTGCCGGCGTTGCACCTTTATGCGGCCATCTTTTCTTACTCTTCTCAAAAGTAAAGGGCTCTTGTCTTGTCGGACTGGTCGCACCGGCCCTTCTCATTCACAGGCCCCACTGAGGGAGCAAAACGAAACAAATTTTAGAATGTCTTCCATAAATGATGTTACTGAGAGACAGGAAAGCACTGGTCTCTTCAGCTTCAGGCAAGGAGTCTATGCTGCTGTTCTCAGCTTCTTGCATGGGCAGCCCTCATGGGCTCACAGTTCAGCTCTGGGAAAGAGAGTTATACTTTGAAAAGCATGGAATTATGGGGTGATGGCTTGGGGGCAAGGTTCTTGGATTTGCTAAGAGGGGAAGGGATGAAGAATCTGTGGACGGGTCAAACTCAGATCCGTGGAAAAGAGCTGGTGGCTGGAAATATGGAGTGTGTGGTTTTGTAGGAAAATGAATGCTGGGTAATGTAGGGGAATAGATGTGAAGAATTTTAAAGATGGGGAGAAGCTAGAAAAAGGCATCTACTCTGGAGTATGTGAATGGGGGTTGAATGGGCTAAACTTGAGATCAGAGGACTCCTGTTTTAGAAGGATGAAGTAGCCATTCTTCTCTTGGGGAAATGAGGAATTTTCTGCATTGCCTAAAAAGAAGGGCAGAAAGAATTACAGGCCTAGCTTATTTGCGGCTTCCATATGAGCATCTTTGGGCAAAGACTAAGAACATTGCTCCCTTCATTCCAAGTTCACCACAGTTTCCAGAGTTTTTTTTCTCTAGAATCAGTGGAACTTCATAAAAGATGTCTCTCATCTCCCATACTGTGGGATGTGTTCTTATGGAGGCAGTAGCTTAAAACATGAGGTATTCTTGAAAATGGGAGATGGGGCTTCTTTAGGGGGACAGGACAAGCTTCCCCAGATTTTGAAAAGTCTGATTATTGCATTAAGACAAAATAGAGGATGTCATTACTAGTCAGGATTCTAGTCCTCCTACGAATACCAAATGAGGCCTCCCACACTGAAAAAGTTGGTTAAGGAACTGCCTAAGAAATTTTTATTTCCTCCAAATGTTATTTGGGTTTTGCTGTGGGCGGAGCGGGGCGGCAGGACTTCTGGTTCTCTGAGATGGGGTGAAGAAGGGGCTGTTGGACTGGTCCTAGAAGCATTGAGAACTACAGCATTGAGTCCTTTTGCCTTAATGTATTGAAATGAAGTATGTGATGTTGACTTTGTGGTTCAGGGATGCATTCCCTGGGATGATTATTGGGAATGGGGGTGGGGGTGGGAATGGTGGTAATGCCTGCATTTGACAGGGTTGTGTTTTGAATGTTATTGTGATTGCTAGGTGGAGACAGAGGCTATGGAGAAGAGAGTTGGTTCGTTCCCCTCTATCTTTCTTAATCTTCTCCTGTAAATGTCCAAGGTGATCATTTTCTCCTTCCCACAAGTCCACACCTGGCCCTGTAGCATCCAGGTGTAATGTATAATAGATTTCTCCAACATACAATCCATCCCCACACACATGCAAATATATATATGTGTGTGTTTTTGTTATGTGTGTGTGTGTATACACACACATATATACATACATATTTTCATTTTTTGTTATTACTGGAGAGAGGCCACATAATCCAGAGTCAATGATTCAGCTTCAACCTACAAGAACACTGGGGTAAGAACCTGTTTTGGCTCTGAGTGCAGAAGGGTGTCTTCCAATTCTACCAGAATTCCACCGCATGCTTGAGATTCTTGCTGGGCTCTACTTTGCAAGGTTCAGCTTGATTCCCAAGTCTGGAAGCTACAAAAATGGTTCTGAGAGGGCATCCATGGCCAACACCTATTCTAAAGTTTCCTCATCTCCATTGATTCTATTCACCCTTCCTGTGCTGGGAGGATGGGTTCCTGTCCTGTTAGATGCTTCTCTTGACTCCTCCATCACCTAGAGCACGGAGGTACTAGATTCATACTTTAGAATCTAGCTTGGGTTGGCATTTGATGTTTGTTTTGACTTAATTCCACCTACCCTGGGAAAACTGGCATTTTGTGCCACCTTCATCTATCTCTTTTGAACCTAGGATTCCTAGACCTTCTTCCTGTTCGGTACCCCCCACCCCCAAAGAACTGTACCTCATGCTGTGGGCAGAATCTTTTGAAATGAATGTATTTAATCCTGTGCTGCCTAAGATTACCTTATGGCATTCAGGCAGATCTGCCTCACATGTTCTTCTCTTTCTCTCCCTCCCTCTTCCTCTCCCTCCCTCCCTCTCTCTCTCACACACACACACAGAGACAGAACTTCCTTTAATCCTTCCTCTACCAAATCCGTTATCCTGGGCTGGAGGTCCTGTCTCTGCCTTCAATGCCTGTGCAGAGCAATTAATGTAATTTACTGGTTTTATTTGCAAATATAAACTCTATGGGATACAGAGGTTCTCTGTAGGTGTCTTTGCATCCATTAATGTGTGTTTTGAGACAAGAGGAAGACCCTTGGCTATAACCAACTACTATCTGCAATGTTCTTCACTACTGGTACTTGGAACAGTAACACAGAAAATCAGGCAGAGATAAAAAGCAATGCCCTGAATTGGAATTTGGGGAGACAATGGCAGAGTTTTGCTAACTGGTTCTCCTAGTAGTTTGGTTATAGCTTCTGAATGCTCTAGTGAAGAAGAGGAGCAGTGGGGTTAGTTTTGCCCACCCTTTGCACTGTATTCCACTTCTTTTAGTGCTGGCAACTCATTCACCAGCTTAGTTCAGTAGCAGCACTAATACTGGACTTAAAAGCAAAACTCACCTTATTTAACAAAGCCATATTGTAAACTTTCTCAAAAGCTAGGCATCTTGATAGAATTCCTCTTGTTCAAAGATGGGTTTTCTCTCACTCATGAAAAAAGAGGTAGAGTTATTCTCTCACACTCTCTTCAACCTTGCAGACCTGTTTGCAGGGGAGTAAAAAGCAAAGTCAAAATGATAGCCATATGTGATCAATGCCCTGACCTTTTTACACATCTGTAAAAAAGGGGGGAAGGGTTCTGATTGCATGGATATGGCTATTATTTTGACTTTTTTGAAATAGCACCACCCTACCCATTGCCCATAGACAACCCTGCCCTAAAAACACAACTTAAAATTTAGTGCTAACCAAGTGGGGGACACAAATTACTGTGCAATTTGGGGGAAAATGAGAAAATCATTAAAATCCAGGATCCCCAAATTCTGGCTGGACAATATAAGTCTGTCTTTGAGCGGAGGGGAAGGGGATAGAGGATGCAGACCAGGTCCCTGGTGGTGGGGATAAGAAGCAAATTATTTGCAGTATGCTGAGCTTTATACTATCCCGCATTCTCTTCAGTGACTCCCAGGGTTCACTTGTCCTGATGTTTTTGGCTCTGGTTCCTGGTTTGCAGCCATAATTTTCCATTTCCCACCATGCTCCAACTTTTCTGAGTTGGAATCACTACAGACCATTGCAGAAAATTGGAAAAAGCACTTTATGGTTTTTTCCACTGATAGGTCAGTGTAGGGGAAAAGCAATCAGTGGCCAATTTGTCCAAGCTATTCTTAAATATGAACCCATCCCTAAACCGGTAGAAGATAAATCTTCGATGTCCTAGGTTATTTGCAACAGATTGACGGGAACATTCAGCTTAGAATTGTTGAATCAGTACAAGCAAAGGGTGGGGTGGGCTTTCTTTTCCTTCAATTAAGTAGTTCTGCACAATTGAGATGAGTTTCAATACAAATCATACGACAAATCATTCTAGCTTGTTTAGTGAAGTTGGTAATTGGTTCTGTTGCCCTGCCAGTATTTTACACCAAATTACTGGACCTCTGGGTTCTGCTAGGAACAAATAAGCTCCTTTGTGCCAGAAACTTGCCTATGCCTGACTTAGGGGGCTCGAAAGATCTCCCAATGTCCTGTTTAGGCACCAGACAGTATGTATGATCAGACCATTACTCAAAGAACACTTGTTAAGGAACCCAATGATTAGACTGTAGAGCTTAGAGTTCCTTCCCCAAATGCTTTGACTAGGATGAGAGCATCTGGTAGGCCAGTTCTATCAAAGGCTTTATCAACCCTTGGCAAATTTCCTTGTTCAAAGTCTCCACCCAACATTAGTAATGTCCCTTATCAACACTGGAAATCATTAGATGTGCAGGTAGTCCTTGACTTACAACTACAACTGAGCCCAAAATTCCCATTGCTAAGCAAGACAGTTATTAAGTGACTTTTGCCCCATTTTATGACCTTTCTTGCCACAGTTGTTAAGAAAACCACTGCAGCTGGTAAGTTAATAACACGATTGTTAAGTGAATCTGGCTTCCCCATTGACTTTGCTTTCAGAAGATTGCAAAAAGTGATCTAATGATTCTGGGATACTGCAATTGTCATAAATACATGCCTGGTCTCGAGTGTCTAATTTTGATCATATGACTTTGGGGGATACTGCAACAGTTGTATTTCTGAAAAACAGTCATAAGTCACTTTTTTTCAGAGCCACTGCAACTTTGGTCACTAAACAAATGGTTGTAAGTCAAGACTACCTGTAGTAACCTGTTCACATTAAGCATTGGGAATTGTCTAGTGTTCTGAATGAGAAATACTGAAATATAATATAGACTGAATTTGAATACAGAAGAAAAGATTGGGTGGAACAGTGAATGAAATATCTTTTATAGCAAATCCCATGCAGATAATTTCACTACAGAAGAGTTCATGGCTGGAGATTACTGTTCTTCAGACTCTCGGAAATTTAGCCCAGGAGCAAGAAGACAAGCAACAAGAATCACCTAGCTTGGTAAGATGGACAACATGCCTATAGTAGGTAAGCTAGTAGTTCGGAGCAGTGCGGCCCTGTGGTGATTTTGGTATGATCCTTGGACTATTTTTGCCTAATACAAAGCTAGTAAAATAGAGCATTTGGAAGAATCCCAAGAGTAGTAGAAGTGTCCTGCTGCCCTGGTACATTAATTCTTTGTCTACTTTTGGGTGCTATTTCCCAAGTAGACTTGGAGGAGAGGACATTCTATTTCCATTGTCCAGTTCTCCCAGGTTAGAGGCTGCCATTCCCTACAGCTTACTCCCTTTCAGTTAACCAGTGCATAGCTTTTAAGATATAGAGGGAACATACAATCATGACTCCAGCAGGAAAGCATTATTTTTAATAACATTTTGGAAGAGAATCAGCAGAACACAGCGCCAAGCATTTCAGCTCACTCTGATTTCCCCAGTTACAACTCTGTAAAAGGTGAGTTGAACCATAGCTCCCATAGACATTAATTATATCATGCTGAATGTAACTCTGGGCACTCCAAAGCAGGTGGACATCAAGGTTGAAGTTTTTGGCTCCATTGCTAATGGGGGGGGGGAATTCAGAATATGGCAGATTACCAGGATGGCAAAGGCCAATACAACATCCATATCATTATTGACTATAGTTTATTATAATATTTCAAATTTATTATACATGGTAAGCAGTTGTACAGTTAAGACACTTGTGTTGTAATTTTTACTTTAAAATGTAATTTATTGTCTAAAACCAAATGGTGCTTATTCTCAAATAAGAAAATGATTGCCTAAAGCAATCTATTATTAACATTATGATTACATTTGTGTATAAAATTATTTAGCTGCCTGTCTTGCAGCCATGAACTTCTTGCCCAGTAACAGCTGAACCATACAACTGGATAAGGAGAGTTTGGGGGTGGGGGGCACACACTACTTGGGGAAGCTATATGTAAATTGTAAAGTAGAACATACAGTAATCTAACTTTCTATGAAGATTCTAAAATTATGGGGTTATGAAATTAACCAGATGAGAGTCCTCTGATAAATTTCAGATGTTAACATTTTCTCAGAATAGGTCAGGCACCAGGCGTGGATGGGAGGGAGAAAACATAACCTGTTTCAATTTTTCCAGCAGTTTGCATGCATAAAAGGATTCAGTGGTTTTTAAAAATTAAAAATAAATAAAAACTATATCAAACAGAAATGAAGGAATGATGGTTTCAATCTATACAAGTTTTTCATAACAGAAAAAGTGCACTAACACAAACTTGGCAGCAATTGGAAATTTAAGCTGCAAGAAATCAATTGCCACAAATGCATGGCCTTTTCTAGAGCAGTGTTTCTCAACCCTGATAACTCTTGGGATACATGGACTTCATCTCCCAGAATTCTGGGAGCTGAAGTCCACACATCTTAAGCTGACATGGTTGAGAAACATTGACTTAGACTTTTCTGCTTTTCACACAATTAGTAGGACTGTCTTGCTCCTCAGTTTCATTGGGAAGTAGTAACAGCGTTTTGGAAAATAAATCTTCCTGCAGACTTCACCCACAAAAGTGACAGTTCCTTCCAAGGTTGCTTACTTCAAAGCAGAAAAGATGTACTTCAGAGGTCCTCTAGGGGGCACCCTCTTTCCAAATGTGTGATTAGAAGGACAAAGAATAAAAACCAGGAATGTAAGTTCAGAGGAAGCATTAGGGTAACTTAAAGAAATACAAGATTTGATAGATCTACAAGCAGGACATCATCATGTTTTGCTTGGTTTTGAATTCATATCCTTCCTAGAGTTCAGATGCCATCCAAATGGCTGGCCTCCCAGGAGTCACTGAGCGTGTCCAGCAGACGCTGACGGGCTAAGGACCTTCGAAGGTGCATGCGATAGTCCTCCATTACCAGGTTATCCCAGCGTCGCAGCACAAAATGGTTTTCATCCAAGGTTAATCCAGAACCCAAGAGCTGATTCCGAGTTCGGAAATCTGATACTGTGATCAGCCACCTACATGGGAAGACAAGAAAAGAGACGGCTGACTGACATGGTTTCATCAGGCTTCATTATGATGGGGGAATTTTTCATTGCTTCTTCCCCAGGACTCTATGGCTCAACAAGTTCAGAATGATCCCTTTCACGGGGCCCAGTGCAGTAGGCAAAAATGGCAGGAGCCAATGGCGTAAATGGCACAGAGACAAACACAATGGAGTGTGTCTGATGTAGATATGGCTGTTCTCGGAAGCAGAGCCAAATAAAATTCCCAAATTGTTGAAGGCTAACTTCCCCAGTTAAGCAAAAGCACTCAGGTCTCTGGTTTTTCAGAAGAACTGCCTGTTTCTAGTTTGAATATTCTGCTTTTATAGCATACAATTTTACATCCCCTCCCAAGGACTGCCTGCTGGAGACAGACTGTATGTCCTGGAGACCTATGCCTTTTGTCTAGGTCAGAAGTTGTCTTTATGACGAGGCTGCACAATTTATACCAACCACCCAAAAGTTGCCATTCAATTGGCATGATTAATGTAACAGAAAAGGGAAACTGAGAAATATACTGAGAAAAATGGTAATTGGCCTGGCCTGGCCCAGATTATGCATTATTCATCTGCTAGATCAATGTTTTTGAAACTTAATAACATTAAGAAGTGTGGACTTCAACCCTCAGAAATTTCCAGCACTATCCATTGAATTCTGGGAGTTGAAATCCACACCTCTTAAAAGTTGTCAAGTTTGTAGAACATTGAGCTAGATTGTGTCCTGAACTCTTGTGCCTTCAACTGAATCGCATAATTGTAAGGAGCAAAAATGAACACATGCCAAGACTTATTTTACTAAAATAACTCTGCTCAAGTAACACAAGGCTGGATTAGTATACCATATTTAGTTTTGTTACCGAATTAACTTGTTTTTCCAATTTTCACAGTATATTTGGTTATAAATTAACCAAACAGCATGGTTTCATACAATGCAATATTTTTTTAAAAAAGAAATGACTAAAATTAAGCAAGCTTACTATGTTTTGTGAATGTATTCACCCAAGCTTTTGCTAGTCTGCACAGACATTTGTGCAAACACAGCTAAAATGGGACCCTAAACGTTAGTGTGTTTCATAAGAGTCAGAATTAAAGAAGTAGGGAATCTAATGATAGCTCCCAGGTTTTATCCACTGTTAGCTGTCTAGAATCACTAGACCGAGATGGATGACATATAATAGACAGACAGGCAGACAGATGGGGAGGGAGGGAGGGAGCGAAAGAGAGACCAAGTGGGCAAGCAGGCAGATTTCCTTGATTAGCTGGTGTTTCTCAACTTTGGCAGTTTTAAGAAGTATGGACTTCAACTCTCAGAATTCTCCAGCCAGTATGTTGGTTGGAGAATTCGGAGAGTTGAAGTCCCTACATCTTAAAGTTATCAAAGATGATAAACACTGATTAGACTGCTGGTCAGTGAAGGAAACTACACATTGCCTCAGCTAAGTTACTGGTTTTTTTGGTTTTTTTTAATGATGCCATAGGCCAAGCTAGCCAAGTAAAGCTGAGTGGTCAAATAGACTTCCCTTAGTCCAGAGGAATGGGGAATAGAGTAGTTGAATATCTATCTATACCAACCTGTTCTTCCGCCCAGCAGTTCCACAAATTACATTGATGTTTTCAAATTGGATGCTGCGTAGGAGGCCTGCTTCAAAGGCATTGGGAATGACAGCTTCTATGGCTGCTAGGATTTCAGCGTGCTTCATCTCCTTTTCAGGCTAAAATTCAGAAGGGGGTGCTCAACCATTGGAGTCCATCTCCCTCCTTCAGACACACCTGCTAAGAGCCTTTTAAGTTGTTATGGCTTGTGTATTATTGTTCTAACCTTTCTTGGTTCTCTGAGTTCTGTTTTTCTGCTATTCCCTCATTTTTCCTTCATAACATCCTGTAGGGTAGGTTAAACTGGGAGATTGGGATCACTCAAGATTGCTAAGTCAGAATCATGGCTAGTGTTTTTCAATCATGAAACTATAATACTGCTCTCAGGATTTCTAGAAAACATGGCAAACTGCTTTACCATCCTCTGTATTTCATACTACAGATAATCCTTGATTTACAGCCATTCATTTAACAATGGCTAGAAGTTACAACAGCCTCAAAAAATAATTTACAACTCATCCTCAAAGTTATGACTGTCACACAACTTCCACTGTCAAGTGATCACAATTGGATGATGGCAACTGGCTCATATTCATGACTATGTCAGCATCTTGCAATCATATAATCATGATCATATAATCATGATTTATGGATCTTAGCTGGCTTCTGACAAGCAAAATCAGCTGAGGAAGTCAGATTTACTTAACCATAATAAAACTGATTATAAAATTGGGTCCAGTCACATGATGACATGTTTTACAACTGCACTGATTTATGATTCAGTTGTGGGACAGAAACAGCACTGGTCACACTTGTTGATGATCTCTAGCAAGAGCGGGATGTAGGGATAATGTAACCATCCTTGCTCTTCTTTATCTCTCAGCAGCTTTTGATACTACCGACCATGGTATTCTTTTGTACCAGCTGCGGGGTTTGAGGCTGGGTGGCAGAGATTCTTTTCTCCAAGATTGGTCCCAATCAGTGTTGATAGGGACTGAGAGGTTCAGCCCACAGCCACTCCTCTGTGGCATGTCATAGGGCTCGGCATTGTCTCTACTCCTTTTTAACATTTATATGAAGTCACTGGGTGAGATCAATTGCCACCGGGGCTTGAGGTATCATCAATATATATATCCACCCCGGTGATCCAAGTGATGACATTGCCATCCTGTCACTGTGCTTGGAGGCTGTGAGGGCCAGGATAGGGGACAAAAGACTACAACTGAACCCTGGCAAGACCAAATGGCTTTGGATATACGGAGTTTCAAGTTTCAGGTTGCACTAATCCAGACAGACCTGGTTCACAACTTGGGAGTTCTCCTGGACTCGCAAATCCTGCTCAAAGAGCAGTTGGCAATCGTGGCTAGGACAGCCTTTCCACAACTTTGGTTTGTGCACCAGTGTGGCCTTTCCTGGATCAGGAATCCCTGTGCTAAATCATTCAAGCCCTGGTCATCTCATGTCTGGACTACTGCAATATGCTCTACTGTATATGGGACTACCATTGAAGAATATTTGAAAGCTTCAACTAGTGCAGTCAGCAGTGTAAGCAGTTCTTGGGGTCCCTAGGATGACATATTACACCACTTGCTCTGAAAATTGCACTGGCTGCCAGTCTGCTTCCGGATGCAATTTAAGGTATTGATTATTATATGTAAAGCCCTGCGTGGCATGGGTCCAGGCTACTTGAGGAACTGTCTAACCCCACTGGGGCTGGCCAACTCCCCCGCATCATCAGAGGAAGTATGCTGCAGGGTCCATTGCTCAAAGAATTCCAGCTGGTGGGCTGCAGGGAAGGGCCTTCTTTGCCGTGGCTCCTGCCCTATGGAACATCTTATCTCCTGATGTGAGATTGACTCTCCCCTGCTTCTGTACATCTGGTCCTGCCAGATGACCTGAAGCCCTAATGGGGAAACATTACATTGGAGGTGGTTGTTAAATTAAGAGCCAATCCCACCTCCCCCCCCCCCCCGTTCACAATGCATCCTATTTTTTCCTCCCTATCTTTTAACTATACCTTGATTGGGATTTCTATTTTTATTCTTTTAAAGATATTTATTTGTTAGATTTTTAATATTTGAATGCTGGAAGCCACCCAGAGTTGTTTGCTACGAGATGGGCAACAAATAAATTTGATAAATAAAAATGATGAAAAATGTGGTTGTAAATGGAGGACTACCTGTATGTTTGAATATGTAAGCTTCACTGATTTCTCTATTTGGGTTGTTCAGGCTTCTTTCCACAAATAAGTCTACTTCCTCCTCTCCCACCCCATCTATTTTTTTCTTTTCTAAACCAGCCAGCCAAGCTCTCAACTAATATAGTGACTATTTGAATATGAGCCATCGTGGCACAGTGGTTAAAATACAGTATTGCAGGCTAACTTGTCCAAAGCCAGGAGTTCAATAGAATATCTTTATTGTCATTGTGTATCTCACAACGAAATTAAGTGCTGTCCACAGTGCATACTACACAAAAGTAAAAACCACAAGTAAAAACACATTACATACATGCATCCTTAACATTCTATTCACCATTGCGCTGCCCCTAACATTGCACTTCAATGTTGCACTATATAATAGTATTTAATATGGTACAGCTCTGGGATAAAAAACTATTTTTCAGCCTATTTATCTTTGTTTTTATTATCCAGTAACATCTGCCAGATGGTAATAGTTCAAAAAAAGAATGGGATGAGATGAGCCTTTAAGAATGTTTTGAGCTTTCCTAAGATAGCGGGAACTGTACAATTCATCCAGGGAGGAGAAGAGGGCAGCAAATAATCCTCTGGGCAATAGTAACGACTCTTTGGAGTATATATGTAAATGCTACTGCTATTGCCCATAAGTGAATTATAAATAGCTAACAAACTTCTCTATTCACTCTGAGGAATTAAATTTGCTGGGTGTACAACTCAGATACACAAAAATTTTGTTGTCCTTTGTAAAATCTTTTAGTTGGTATAGCTGAGCCCTAATATAATCTTGTCTAGATAGGTTGTCACTGAAACTGCCAGAGTTCCTAATGTACCCTCAGACAGTATTGAATGTGATGTTATGGTTGCACATTATGATCACAATTAATTATACTTTCATAAGCACATTTTATGGAAGTGAATAGTTGCCATGAATTAAGTCTGAGTATACAAGTGAATGGGGAAAAATTGATCATTTTTGAAATTACAGCACTTCTGGGTGGGTCTATGTGACCCTCTCAGACCCCATGCGCAGCTGTGCACAACAATGACATCTGTCTGGGATTTCTCTTATTTTTTTAAAAAATAAATTAATCTGCCCCAGCCAGCCCACAAAAGATGAATTTCTCACAATGCCACCATATCTATCTTCTCTCTGGGCATGGGAAAAAATTAAATAGCAACTGATTTTATCTCTCAGAGCTCAGCTCTTCTCAGACAACTTAAAAGGGACCCGAGTCTGTTTCTCCCATTGAAGTAGGACTAACCGGATTCTCCAAGCAAAGGCAAAGGGGTCGGGCAGCAGGCGGCCGAGGAAACTTGCGGATGCAAGGCATTTCCATGTCCAAAGCTTCATATTCGGCAATGATCTTCTTCAGATACTGACGCCTAAGTGGAAAAAAAGGCAGTTGAAGGGCCCATTAATAGTACAGAGTGTTATGCTTCAGAGTCATCTCTTTTGATCCGGCTTCCCTCTTCAGGAGAAGCTGAGAAAGTACTTCCTGATAAAGCAGAAGGACTCATTCCTATGTCAGAGACAGTTTGACATAGAAATGCAGTTCTTGTTCTCATTGCTTGTGCTTTTTTCAGAGCCCTCTATTTGGCCGTTGAAGATGCAAGATAGTGATTTGGATAGGACTTTGCCTACCCGAGCCGACCTCCTAAATCTAGGGGAGTGGACAGTATTATGGTAAAGTATGGATATTATTTTTCATGCTCACCTATAGCCTCTGTTTTGAATAAGAGGCATATTGGAAACCTCAGTCAAAGAGCTGTGGTCACTGCTAAAATGGCCCCCACTTCCAGAAAGCACCATAAAGCCTCCACATAGGAAGGCCATGTGGTGTACCCTCTACTTCTCCTTCCCAAAAATGATCTTCAGCAAAGATAAGTGGACAGAGATATGACTGGGGTGGGAGTGGGGAAGGAGGCCCAAGACTGTGGGATCCAATAGGATGGGAAGTGGGGCACGGGGTGCCTGAGAGTGGGAGAGACCTTCAGAGATCAGCAGCAGGCCACTTGTGAACTGGAGAGATGCTTCCATGCAGGCTTGGACTTGGGCCTGCATCAGGCCTCCCAGAGTTTGCCCCACCCCGAGGCACTTAACACTTGCCACTGGGAGAACAGGAATTGTGATTTTTAAGAGAGGCAATCACACAAGTGCTTCACTTAACAACTACCACTGTTTTTGATTGTAATCAGCATATTAAGTCATAAATTACCTGTATTTAATAATTTTCTCTTATGTCCCATTAAAAATTAGAATTCAGTAGCAATTTTCAGAGAGGCTCCCTCTCAAGACTTGGGAGGAAATATGAGGTCCTACTATAGTATCTTAATATCTCTACTAATATCCTGCCTTACTGAGACATTGCTCTCTTGATAATGTTGCTGCTCAGGAAATTACATTACAATTTACAGACCAATGATAAATCTTCAGGGGCTCTGAAGGACTGCAGCAGGATAGAGAATATACCCTTCCTAGCAGAAGGAACAAGGGATACTGATGTAACCCAGCCCCTGCCTCTGAAATAATTCCTCTTTCTCTCTAATGGTGACTCCTTATCATTTCAAAGTCATACTCACGAAGTTTTTCGGGGCGGTGGGCAAGGTTGCTCCAATTCAAGAAAAAGGGAAGATACCCCTTCACTCTCAGTTTCTGGAACTGAAAGCAAAATGGCTAGTTAATGTTTACAATTTAATCTATACTTCTTCCACACACAAAAAAAATCAAACATGAGAAGAATCTTCTGGGCCCAATCAAAAGTTCATGTCCAACATGATTTTTTTCATACTGGTGAACCAGCTCAGTGATGAGATTCAGCCAGTTTGCACCACTTCAGCAGAACCAGTAGCTATTTTTTTGTTGCCCAGGCCCAAAATAGACTTCTGGAAGTGGCATCCACATAGAGAATTGATTGTTTACATATCTGAATCCCACCACTGGACCAGCTGCTTTAGGAAGCACAGAAAATAAGACCATTCAGGGGTTCTTTTGGATTCATACTTTCATTTTACACACACACACACACACACACACACACACACACACACACACACAGTGGGCCTACCACTTTCAGAGTTGTATTTTTCTGGGTAAATAGAAGTAGAAATCACTGGATATATTACTTAAGTTGGATGTAAATCTAATAAATAAATGAAACATAACATGGTACAGTATTTCTAAACAGTTGCACAAATATTCCTGTAAATTGTCTGAATTTGAATCAAAGGTTTGTCTCTTTTGTGTGACTTCTAACTTAGCTGACCTGATCCACACATTGCACTAAAGTCATAAATTTCAGATCTTGAACCACAAGGATAGGATTCATATAATATATGCTAAGCCAAATCATATTCAGGTTTGGCAACATAAACAAACCCAATAAAGGCTCTATTTGCCCATATTTAACTGGTTATAGGATGGGGTAGAAAAATCCAGTCAGTTGTAGGATTAGAGAGAGTTTAATTTAGTTTTTCACAACCCTGAGTTGACTAGGCCATCCAATTATTTTATTCATGTATTTATTTATATCCTACCTATATTGTTTTTTATAAACTAACTCAAGGCAGCAAACAAATATAATATTCCTTCCTCCTATTTTCCCCCACAACAATAACCTTGAGAGAATTTGTGCTGAGAGAAAGTGACTGGCCCAAAGTCACCCAGACAGCTTTCATGTGCAAGGCAGGACTAGAACTGACAGTCTTCTGGTTTTCTAGCCTGGTATCTTAACAATGAGACCAAACTGGCTCTGGGGAAGAGTTTGGGATTAATCCTTTCATCTGATTCCCAGCACAGAAATGAAGTCCTTAGCAAACTTACAAAAATAGACTTGCATTAGAACTCAATCCCATTGTTTAATATTTCACCCCTTTTCTTTCCAAGAGGTAGTAAGCCTATCCCAGCTCCCTTTGCATCAATCACAGTCAGGTAGATTTTAAATCAAAAAGCTGATTTGAAAAATAAAGATATAGGAAGCAACAGCCATACGGCTGCCCTGCAGGGACTGGCAACATAGAGTTTAGAAAGTAGATTCCTTGTCTCCTTGGTGGGAATCTGTCATGTTATGCTCCTGGTACAGAGGGATAAATATTTTCCGTAGGCACTATGTTACAACAGAGTTGGAAGGATACTCAAGCTCAATCTTGAATTCTATATTTTATCTTCAGTGCTTAATACTCTACAACTACAGCAATCCTGACAGACAGGCTCTGTATAAGTAACTCCAATAAGAAATAGCCTATCGCTTTCTGTGACCAATCTGATTTGTTACAAAGAGCTGTTTCATAATAAATAACTTTCCCTGTAATTTCTACTCCTTGGATTTGCTCCAGGCCTCTTGAGCAACAGAGAATTCATCTTTTCCATCGCAGAGGACGGGTCAACTTCATTTTCTACATGGGAGCCTTTCTAATCATATCTGTTTTTCCCTTTAATACAAGGCTGAATAACTTGCCATTTTAAACAGTTCCACTACCCTTTCTAACAAGCTGCTGAACATTAGGCAAATGGAAAGTACAGTTAAATGGAAATGGAAGTCTTAGGAAAAAAACAACTTCATTTTTTAAAGAGCTCAGGTCTTTAAAAAAAGGAGGGAGAAAATCTAAGTATATTCAGCGTGGTTGTGAATATGTTACTAAATGAAGCCATTTGGGGGATTCAGTTTATGAATCATTCACACACACAAAAATAAGACATAAAAACCTAGTAAAAATCAACCATAGTTACACTTCATATCTTGCATGAATATGTCTATTAGGTCACTATCAGTCCTGGTTTAAATGTATGATGCTAACACAGCCAGAGAGTTGGTGTCTATCATAATGGAGATATGATTAAACTGAGTCTAAATAAAGCATCAGCATGTACACACAGAGATATGGACACACTTTTCCATTGGTTTATTTATTTGGTACAAACTCTTGCCAGTTCCTCATTTTGTGGATTCCAGGTAGTTATAAAAAATATAAAGGCCAATGGCAGGATTGTCTACAGGATACATAAAAAATAGCAGTCCTTCCATTACATCATTACAGACATCACAAAAGAAAGCTCCACCCAAACTGAACCAAATAATGAACAAATAACTCCCAGAGGATTTGACCCACTGATAAATCCTTGGAGGAAGACAAATGGAGGTATGTCACACACAGAAGGAAACAAATACTTGTTGTACAGCATACAACAAACAAACCCCTTCTACCCAATCCTACCCAACCAGAAGCAGCTACCATTAAAACTGAGCAATCAATTTCTCCTCTTAGATGGAAACATGCAGACCTGCAACCTCCCCTCAAAGAAAGCATGCAGACACCTAGCAAAGAAACAACTCCAAATATCCCTTAAAAAGTCACTTCAAATATTCCTAAAAAAGCCACATCAATAAACACACCTGAGATAAACAGAAAAACACCCCAGACTGTACCACCACAAAAAAGGAAGATGAGTATGGGTAATAATAGGAGATTCTATCCTCAAAGGAACAGAATCATCCATCTGCAAACCAGACATACAATCCAGGGAGATATGTTGTCTCCCTGGAGCAAAAATCAAAGATGTGGCTGAGAACCTAACCAAAATAATTAGGCCTACAGATTACTACCCCTTCCTCCTCTTCCACATTGCGACAAATGACACAACAAACAACCTCAGTACTATAGTGAGAGGTTACAAACAACTAGGCAATAAAGTTAAGAAGCTAGGAGTACAAGTAGTGTTCTCATCAGTACTTTCAATGAAAGGCCAACACCCATTGAGGGAAAAAAGAAATTTAGAAATAAACCATTGGCTAAAGGGTTGGTGTCACCAGGAAAACTTTGGTTTCCTGGATCATGGATTGCATTTCCTACATGAAGGGCTCTTGGCAAGGGATGGGCTGCACCTCACAAAAATGTACTTGGAAAAAGACTGGCCCTACTCATCAGGAGGGCTTTAAACTAAAATTGAGGGGGAAGGGAGACCAATCTCTAGAATCACTAGAACACAAAACCAATCACAAATCCCAAGAAAACAAATCAAACAATGATCTACGTGTAGGCAGTGAGGAGACAAAAAGAAAAACTCAGGAGATGCAGGAAACATACCCATGGACAGGCATAAAAGTCTTAAATGTTTACATACAAATGCTCAAAGTTGGGGAACAAACAGAGCAAACTAGAAGCAATAGTACATGAGGGAGGGTATGACATAGTTGGCATAACAGAAACCTGGTGGGACGAAACCCATGAATGGAATGGACTGGTGGATGGTTACAAATTGTTCAAAAGAAACTCTATAAAAAGAGGAAGGGGAGTTGCACTATATGTAAGAGAACACTACATATCTACAGATGGCCATCTGAAGCTCCTTCCAGGTCCTCAAGAGTCAGAAAAGTACTTTGTATTCTTACCACATTCTCCTTGGCTGCTGGAACAAGATTGACACCTGGGTCCTTCGTTCTCTTCCTCCTGCATTCTTGAGGTAGAAAAAATCAGTAAGAATGAACCTACTGCCTTCTGCCTACTCCCTTCCTCTTGCAACCTGGTGCATTGTTGCCTGCCCCCCTCCTGATCCAAACTTCAGATATCTCCCCCTCCAAGGGGAAAAACAATTTTCAGATTCTATCAGAAGTAAAACTGCCAATTTCCTCTAATAAACTAAATTCATCACATACAACACTAATAGTTGATTCATGAATTTCCCTGCCAACAGGTGTGGGGCTGTTGTGCAACTTATATGACTTTCAAGGCTCATTAGACAAATTCAGAAGGAGAAGATGATTGCTGGCTACCCAGACCTGATAGAAGTATTGTGTTTTCATGATCAAAAGACCTGAATGTGAATTGCTAGCAAGCAATAGTAGAAGGCTATTAGTGCCCTCAATGTCTTGCTTGTGAGTTTCCCATAGAATCTGGTTAACCATCTGGAAACAAGTGAATGGACTAGGTAGGTTTTTCCATGCACTTCATAGTCCCTTGAGATGGGAATTTATTTCCCTTGATTACCACTGAGAAAGGGGAATAAAAGCAGTTAGGATAGAATAGAGCTGGAAGCGACCTTGGAAGTCTTCTAGTTCAGCCCCCTGCTCAAGCAGGAAACCCTATACCATTTCAGATAAGTACTGTGTTTTCCCGAAAGTTAGATCTAGCCCAATAGTAAGCCCTAGTTTGATTTTTGGGGGTGGACCTAATATAAGCCCTACTCCAAATCTAAGCCCTAGTTTTGGGGCGAGGCGCACCCCTAAAAATCAAACTAGGTTGGGGGTAGGGGGTGAAGCTGCCCTACATGCCCTGCATCCACTTACCTTATCGATAGGACCACCACAGCCAGGCCACCCACGCTTCAACACCTGTTGTGCCGCTACTTGACTTCTGCGGCCACTTGCCGTCACTTATGGCCAGCTGCTATGTGGCGCATTGTGCCATTTCCACTCTTCCCAGCAGGATGCCACATTGCGCTCTAGGCTGCTTCTGCTGCTTGTGCAGTGCTTTGGGCCACTTCTGCTGCTCACACACTTCAGGCTGCTTCTGTTGCTTGTGGCAGGAGGCCACATGGCACTTCAGGGCATTTCTACTGCTGCTCACAGCAGGACACTGAGTGGCTCTTTGGCCATTCCAAAGAGCCACACAGTGTCCTGCTGCAAGCAGAGAGGAACGGCAACGGCACAATGCGCCACATGGCGTCCAGCCGCAGGTGGTGGCAAGTGGTTGCAGAAGAAGTCAAGCAGCGGTACGACATGTGTTGGGGTGTGGCAGGCCTGGCTGTGGTGGTCCTAAGGTAAGACCTAGTGCCTCTTTTGGAGGAAAAAAAAATAAGACCAGGTCTTAATTTTGAGGAAACACAGAAGCTGTCAAGTCTCTTCTTAAAAACCTCTAGTGATGAAGATTATCTGAAGTTATCCTTGAAAATCATCTTAGTTGCAGATCATCCCCACATCAGTTGGCAGGGAGGCCCATGAATCAACTGTCACATGAAATGAATATATGCCATCATATATTATATATGACATGAAAATATTGAAGCCAGGGTTTTTTCCCCTTCAAAATAATGTAACTTTCCCATCTTTTTTTTCCCAAAATCTGAATCCAAAGTCATCACAATATGCATACAATGTAGGGACTTGCAAGGGGACAGCCCTGATTCAGATAACCAGTATTTCCAATATTACAACCACCAGAACTGATTGTCCAGAAAAGCCATTAGAGCACAGAAAGAAAACAGATGAACAAAATATTCTTTATTCTAAACACATTTCCATTTAACTGGAAAGAAAATAGACATCTTTTTCAGCAGGAATAATTTGGATATACTATTTCTATTGATTGCTAAAATAAATAAAGTATTCAAAAATCCTTTATAGTTGCAACTAACCAAGACAGTCACTTTCATCCTGTTGCTTCCTTCTTGAAAATGTATTCCTGATCTGAATCTTCAGTTGAGAAGTTCAATCACAGCACAATATTGGGTACATGATTTGTACACAGATAGTGCCAGATTCAATCCCAGACAGCCCCAGTTAAAGTAACTTTGGGCAGCAGAATGTAGAGAAAAAAATCAGACCCTGCCTGGTAAGCCAGAAATCCACTCTCAGCTAGCCTGAGTGTCTGGGCAGGCAGTCACTTGCTCTCTTGCTCCTGTTCTTTATTCTTGGCATTGACGCTATTTCACTTTCTTTCTCTCTTCCTCCCACAGCATTTTTTCTCTCCTTTCCTCTGTCTCTCAGTAGACAAATTGTGGTACTGCTCTTTTTTCTGTAGCTTTTGCTTGCTTGTGTTACAAACATGTTACATATATTCATGTTTCCAGAGAGATTTTGAGATAGGTAAGAGGACATGCATGCTGATTTCTAGAAAAATATATGTAGAATAATTTGGGACCCTCCAGATTAAAGAGAGCCAGTTTGGCATAATTGTCAAGGCCCCAGCCTAAAAATAGGAAGACTGTAGGATCGAGTCCATCTTAAGCACAAAACCAACTGGATGAGCTTAGGATAGTCACTCTCTCTCAGCAATAAGAAGGAAGCAGTGGCAGAGTCACCTCCAAAAATCTTGCCAAGAAAACTGCAGGGATGACTCCGAGCAGTTATCAGGAGTCAACAGTGATTTGAAGGCATGGGGGAAAAATAAGATTAAAGACTAATTCAGTAGTCCCTTTTACACTAGTCAGAATAAGCAATTCAGATTTGATGGGCAGACATTTTAATCTGGTAAAAAATAGCTTCTTATGGAATGAGGTATAAATTCCTGGGAAATAAAATGATCAGGAAAATGTATACATTAATACTTCATTGTCACCCATTTCATTTCCAAGATTTCCCAAATCTATGAGCTTAGCCATCACAGCATATCAATCATTCAGTACAGCAATTACAAATACTGATCTCTGTTCCTGATCTCTTTCCTCTGATTCCAGTCCAAGGTTTACCCAAAACTAATGCTTTTCTGCAAGCTGATCTTACCTCATGCTGGTTTCAAGAGATTCAACTTTGCAGGAAAGCAACTGCAGACATTCAAATCCCAGGGTTCCAGAATTCTGAATCTCCTTCTTGGGAGGGGAAGTTCCATGTTGCTGGTCCTTGGTGGCCATGACTCCTACTTTATAAATGATAATCTTACAAGCTGTAAGTTACAATGGTGTCACACATGCCATGCTGTCAAGTACCAATGACACACATTACATAATTTACATCATTTACATAATGATGTCATGATACCTGTGACATTTGTTGTGCACATTTGACAAATGGGTGATAAGAAGAAAGAGTGCCTCAACACATGGCACCACATAGCCTGTCTTGAAAAACTAAACAAAGTTAAATCTGGTTAGCATTTGAATGCGAGATCTTCAAGAAAACCTACAGTTCTAGGAAAGTTGAAAAAGCATTCTACAAAAAGAATGGTTGACCACATCCTGATCATCAAGAAAATTACATGTAAGTATCCACGAATTCAGCAAGAACTGATTGAAGAAAGACCTTTTAAGGAAGAAGATAATCCTTCAGACCCACCAATAGAAAAGCATATATCAATAGACTGAATACACCACAGATTGTCTTCCCATAATTTTCATCATCAGAATGAGACATCTTATGTGCCACTTTTGACCAGAGTAGGGTGAAAACACTTGTAAAACAATAAAGTGTGTTGTCTGAGAATGGCTTAGCATAGTTTATAAATAATTAGCATATGTGTGAACATAGCTTAATAATCTTCAAATTACCTGATAGAAATTTTAAATCAACTGGAGTAGAGATTAAGATTTAGGTTTGAATTGGACAGAATCAGGTTCAAGTCCATTTTCCTCTATAATAATATGCATGGAATAATTTGGAAGCAGTAATGCTATAGGAACATCTTGAGCTTCTGGAGGAAAGAAGGGCTATAAAGGTAGCACATAAAAATATTACTTGATTTGCTCTCACTGTTTATAGCTGCATAAATCTCCAAACCATCCATTTTGAAAACATTCATGAAGATCAAATAAATTCCAGACAGCACCCTAGCCAAGGCAATAACTGCTCCCCTGCCCCACTATGAACTAAAACTGCAAAGGTTTTAATTAAGTTGGCTCTTTTTTTTAAAAAAAAAAAGACCTGGCTTTATTGCTGAGTTATTAAATACATAGAAATTAATTTGGAGATCCTTTTAATATTTGTGGCTGGGTTTGCAGTCACTCTCACTATCTGGGCCAAAAAAAATAGAAGTGCCAAGACCTGCTAAAAATGACCACATCAAAAAGGCATTAAAACATTACAGATTTCAAAATGGTACTTGGAACAACTCATTAATTAAACTGAGATGAGAAACTTGAAGTGACAATTCCCTGTTATTGTTACTGCTTTAAAAGTTGCTGAGGACCACAGTACGAAGATATTACAAGGGAAGATTTTCTCTGTTCTTCCTGCAACTAGTGATAAATGCATAAACTATTTGAGTTGAATGAAAATATCATTCATGCCTAACAGACTAGTTTTCTTTAAATACTTACTAAAACCTGCCAGTTTGCATCTGAAATTCAAGTTACAATATAGGCTTGAATTGAGAATGACAGCCTTGAAGCCCACAGAGTTAGAGGAAGCCTATACATTGCAGATTGGCTATCCCTGATTTAAAACAAAAGTGATTGATTATGTATACCACATCAAAATATATGGATCAAAATGCCAACCAACCAACAAAAATGAGTCCTTCAAAATGGTTTCTGAATTGCCCTGAGGTGGCTGGGAAGGCAGAACAATTACCTGGGTGAAACATCAGTAGCCTATCAATCAATCCCAGGCAGCCATAGGAAGTAAGCCCATCCTAAATATATTTGTTCTGACATAAACTCTGTTGATCTTGGAATAAACCTTTGGTGAAGGATATCTCAGCCTGCAGGCTCATTTTCATTTCCAGTCAGTTATTAGATCTTCAAGTAAACAGAACAGATGTCAATACCACAAACAAATTTGGCTGAAGCCATTTCCACTTTGTTTTCGGTTGCCACAGAATTGGGAGGGGGGGGTTGTGTATTTTTGAATTTAGACAAAACAATAATTTGTCCTGTGGGAACCAAGGTCATTGCTGCTTGTATTTTGGTAGGCTGAAGCTTCCATTAGAAAGTTCGCCAAAGTAGTTAATTTGGGAATGTGATTTATGACATATTACAGGGGTGGGAAGTTCAACTTTATCACATTTGGGAGGGAACTTCTGTCTTGGTTTCACTTTTGATGTGCTGATACTTTGTAGCCAAATAAATATGTTCTTTAAGGAAATCTCTTGCCTATTCTGTTCTGTTTTTACTGGTCTCATCTATTGGAACTGTTGTGTCCTGAGCCTGCAAAAGCAGGCTCGGGACATTGCATTGGTCCCAGGCATTCCAAAAGCTACCCGGGACCAGACAGAGCGGTGCCAGCCTTGTGCGCATGCGCAAGGCGCGAAAACGCTCTGTTACTTTGTTTGCCATTGTTCGGGTCTCTGGACACATAAAGAGGCCTGCGTGCCTTTTGCCATTCGTTTGGGTGTTGTTGTAGGAAGAATAAAGAGCTGTTTAACTTTGCCATGTGTATTCATCATTCACATGCGAATGAAGTACTTAACACTGGCGACGAAGGTGGGATCCTTTGCAAACTGAAGAGGAAGTTTTAAGGCAGCGGTTCTCAACCTATGGGTCACGACCCCATTTGGGGTCGATCGACCATTTTTGGGAGGTCGCCAAAGAAGGCGATCCGCCATTTTCTCCCCTCAGGGAGCGGTGCCGTGCATGCGCGCCACGCATGGGGCGCGCATGCGCACTGTGCATGCGCATAATGTTTGTGTGACGGAAGTCGCCGTCACAAAAACATTGAGAACCGCTGTTTTAAGGACTTACCCAGGAAATCCTGAAGAGGGAAGATGGCATCTGAATCAGCATCCCAGCCTGCCAGTATAGCGTCGCTGGAGGGTGAGTTCGGCTAAAGGACCCTTTCCCCAAACAGAAGTTTGCAGAGGAGCGAGTGGTGAAGGTAGTAATAGTATGATGGCGAACATTGGTCGTTTGTCTGATTTTGATGTCTCACACCCAGAGAGATGGAATTCCTACGTTACAAGGGTGGAGAATTACTTCAGAGGTTAGAGAAGATGGCTTGAAGGCTGCAACTCTTTTGTGTGTCTGTGGACAGGAAGCTTTTGAAATTGCAGAGAATCTGGTGGCCCCTGCACCTCTGAAGTCATAATATATACTGATTTGAAGAAAATGTTAAAGGAACACTTCCAGCCAAAGTTATCTGTTATTGCTTGGAGGCACGCATTCGAGCAGAGAGACCAGAGGCCAGGTGAATCTGCCAAGGATTTTATTGCGGCCTTAAGGTGAGCAACCAGACCTTGTGAGTTCAAGGATCTGGAAGAGAGGCTGCGAGATCACTTCGTATGCGGTTTAAGGAACAGAGACTTACAGCAGAAGATTTTTGCAAAAGAAGATGTCTCTTTCCAAGATGCGCTATGAGAGGTGACAGCTGAGGAAGCAGCAGGTGGGGCTGTGAAGACCCTATGGCTCACCAGGAGCCCTCCAGAGACAGCTATCGTCCATCAAGAGGATGCTCGAGAAGGATCAGAAGCGGATCCTGAAGAAGAGGTGGATAGACTTCACCAGCCAGCTAAAAGGGGACAGAAGGAACATCCAGACAAGGCCCCAGCATCTCTTCAATGCTTCAGGTGTGAAGGACACCACAAGCGAGCTGACTGCAGGTTCCGCTCCGCCATTTGCAGAGCATGTGGCAGGCAAGGCCACATCGCATCCGTCTGTTTGGGTTGCCAGAAGGCCCAACCTCATGAAGAATTGCGTCTGAAAGGTACCAGGGTCCCCAACCAACATAGCGTGGGTTTCTGCGCATCGCGCAGGAGTGTTTTAAGGACAGGGACACATAAGCCTCTTAAGAAGAAGCTTTCCATTAACTTAAGGCTGCAAAGGGTCCCCTTATCAATGGAGTTGAACACTGGGTCCGCTCTCTCCATTATTTCTATTAACACATTCAAAAGGATATGCAGCTACAGTGGCCTTTGAGTTAAACTCAGGCCCTCCAATCTAATACTTACAGATTTTCAGAATTCTATGGTGTGTGTTAAGGAGGAGGTCAACCTTAGAATATAGCATAAAGATTTTGAAGGTCCCCTAGATGTGGTGGTTGTTGGGGGTGAATGTATGAGTCTTATTGGACTTGATTGGTTCGAGGCTCTGGGAATCCAGGTAATTGGGCTGCACCATTTGCAAACATTGAGCCTTGCAGAAGTTTGCAAGGAGTTTGCAGATGTGTTTAGTTCAGAGCTAGGATCCTACAAGGGGCCTCCAATTTCACTACGGATAGACCCAACCATCATGCCCATTAGGGTTAAGCCTAAGAGGGTACCTTTTGCCCTCAAAGGCAAGATTGATACTGAGCTGGACAAATTGCTCCAGCAGGGCATTCTAGAACCTGTGGATTCAAGTCCATGGGAAACCCCCATAGTAACGCCTCTAAAGGCTAATGGGGACATATGTATATGTGCAGACTACAAGTGCACACTGAATAAGGCACTGCAACAGTACAGTTATCCAGTGCCTGTGGTAAGTCACATTCTGGCCTCCCTCAAGGGGGGGGCGCATTTTTGCGAAGCTTGACCTGGCATAGGCCTATCAACAGCTACCTGTTGATGAGGCAGCTGCAGAGGCCCAGACTATTGTAACTCACAGGGGGGCCTTCAAGGTCAAGAGACTGCAATTTGGGATAAATATAGCCCCTGGCATATTCCAAAGTGTCATGGAGAGCACACTTCGAGGTATTCCTGGGGTCTGTCCCTACTTTGATGATGTCCTCATTGCTGGGGAGTCATCTCAAAATTTAGCAGAGAGATTAAGGGCTGTCTTGCTTCGTTTTCGAAAAGCAGCCCTTAAACTAAAGAAGGATAAATGTAAGATAGGAGTCACTTCTACTGACTTCTTAGGATTCAGGATAGATGCTCAAGGCATTCACCCTGCTGAAACTAAATTGCAAGCTATCCAGCAGGCCCCAAGCCCTAAGTCTAAGAGTCAGCTGCAAGCCTTCTTGGGGCTATTAAATTTTTACCATGCATTTCTTCCACATAAAGCTGCAG